TGGATAAACAAACTGTTATTTTGAAGTTAAAAGTAAAATCCGTCAGCTTGATTTATTTAGTCTCTTAACCAGCTATTCTTAGTAGTCTGGTGTATGATTACAGAAAAAAAACAAATGTCTTACAGTATGTGAACCACTGAAATAAGAAATAATGCTGTGGATGCAATCCTCCTTTAAAAAGTATGCAAATATATGAATATATTTCACCCTTGCTATTTTCACACTTGAACCACACTACATCCAAAGGTTTGTGTGAGCATGGTAATTATTTTTGTATAATGTTATGTTTGATTTTACTACATTGCATAAATCTACAGTATGAATAGTTTGTGCCAAATTCTATTTAGTTATTATTTCTACGAAATGTTTGAGTGAATGAACAAGATAATTATGAATGAAAAATATATTTAGGCCCTTGCTTTGTTCTATGCTGTTATAAATCAGTTAAATAAAAATGTTTTTCTATGTGGTTTGATCACAAATATTTTTTTAGTTTTACTTGGGGGCGTTATGAATGGAGCGCCACTGCCTAGTGTGATTTCCAAAGGTTTTTTCCTCCCGTTGTGCACACAGCCATCCTCGTGTCTATCCTTGGCTTCACCAAGGCGCTAATCAGACTCCTGATGAGATGATCAAAGCCCAATAAATATTCCCCTCCTCATTCAATAGTGGTGTGAAGGGCAGTACAGAGCTCGCCTTCGGTGAAAAGCAAGGAGCGCTGTGTTAGGAAATGAATTACTAATGGCAAATTTGCATGATTCACGTCTCTCCCCCTAGAGTGCCGCTTAGACAAGGGAGAGTAGCCTCATGCAGTAAAAAATACAGTGACTGTACTGAAGACAGTTTTCTCTTCAATCAAATTAATGTGCGAAAGCCCCGAGTAAGCATTATACGATCTCAATTTAAATTTAAATTGCAAAGCCATTCCAGATGTCTTTCAAAGCCGAATAGTTTTAGTATAACACTCACCGTGGCTCACTGCGTTCTTACTTTCAGTCTTGAAACAGGAAGGAAAATGAGTAGAACTTACTGAAACACAGTAGGGTATCGACAGGGTGAGGGTTTGGGTGAGAACTATTGTCGTTGTGATTAACCAAATTCCCATATAATGAAGTCCACCCCTATACTTTGGCATAATGTATTATTGTGTATAAAATATATGGTTAAAACTTATAGGTAACTTATAATTAAAATACAAATGCATTGGCTTTATGTTAATTTAAATAACATTGATTAAGTAAAACAAACAGCAGTAATCACAAACTTATAAACTCTGATTCCAGTGGATGCCTGCTACAGTATTTCCCTGCTCTGTCATTAGCACAACCCCTCTGTAATAAAACTGTCAGAGAGCCTGTAAAGGCACCTAAACTGGGAGCTCTTGTCACAATACCAAAACAAGACCATGTTGAGGTGCAGACACTGGGTCGCGGGTACTTGGGCAGGGGGCAGAGAGAGGCTTTCTCACTAGCTAGATTCATCGCATTATCCCAGTCTGTTGTGCAGCTAGTCTGAAAGTTGTACTTAACTACCTTCCGCCTGGATTCATCCTGCTCTGCTCTGCTTCCACCCGAAACCCCGTCGGCCAGGCAGAATCGCAAATTTGCGAATGTTAAAATTGCAGATGTCAAAACCGTGCTGTATTCAAAATCCTCAAAGGCGTTCACAAAACCAGTCCCATGAAACTGCCTTCAAATTCAAAGGGTAAATACGAACCAGAGGATACGACAGTATGTAACAGTGTATTTGAAACTGAGAAGAGGAGGCGCTTTATGTGAAGAGTTGTGGCAGTATGAAACGAGCTAACGAATCATGCTGTTGAAGCTAGTACCCTGGCTTCTTTGAATAAACAGCAGGGTGTGATGCTATGGTTAATTTGGGTGATGACATGGTTATGGTTAATTTGTTAATTTGGGTTATGTTTATGGTTAATTTGGGTGATGCACACTCGAAGAAGGCTCCACAGCCAAAATCTTGTGTTACCTTTCTTTTCTTTTCAGCATGAAATAAACCTTTCCTTGTTTCTTTGTTATGGTTAGTTAACTACTAACTACTAAATGGACTAGATGGGCCAAATTATCTCCTCTCATTTGTAACGTTTCTTATGCTCGTATTAATTTTTTTTCTGAAACATGATACTCCTCAATGTGATTTGATAGTTGAAACAACAGTCCCATCGTCTTTTTACTCGTAAAATGTCAGAATTAGTCAATTTGGGAGTAAATATCCTGTTTACTTTTCCCTTCTTCCTCGAACACACAAGTGAAGAAAAAGATTATCTAATCTTGAAAACTGTAGCTGAAAGAGGCTGAACCCGTCTTCATGGATACCAAGATAATTACAGAAAAATGTGGGTAAAAGGACAGTATTTGTTGTGTTAAAAAGATTAAGTGAGGCAGCCAGCTAGATGCAGTTAAAGCTTTTAAAAGGGTAATTCACTCCCGTTTTTTTCTTTTTCCCTAAATAGAAGATTCTTAAGCTTTCTTGTTTGAACTTCCCACTGTGCTGTTTCTGTAGTATCCCCCAGGACAGTTTTTTCTTTATTTGTCCTCATGAAAACCCAGTTGAATGACGAACGCTTCCCGTTACATCACGATTTAAAGGAAAATGGGATTTCTTGCTTTAACGATGTATGTTTCCTTCCTACATGTTTTTAGAAGACATTTTAATGCCAATAAATTGTCAATAAAATGTCAAAGAAAGAAAAGGAATAGGGACTGTTCCGAGCGCAGCTGGCCCTAATTAACTCCCATTACCCAGTTACCACACCACACCCCTTCCCTCACTACTTAAACCCTCTGCTTACTTTGTTCACTGCTCGGCATTAGGAAACCAGCCTGCCTCCTGAGCTCCTGTTGTTTTCAACTAGCTCTTGATCGACCTCTGTGCTTTGACCCAGCTTCAGCCCTTTGACCTGCCTTTTGCCTGCTCGTTCGGATTTGTTCGCCTTGGCCTTTATAAACACTACCCTGCACAGGGTTAACAGGGACAGAATATACAGATGAGGGAACAGATCACAGAATTTCATCAAAAAGTATATATTTTTGGTGTTACGGGACAGTTTGAGGGCAGCATGAGGGTGCAGTCAGTGGTTAGCATTGCTGCTTCACAGTGCTGGGCTTCTGGGATCAGTTCTGGTCCTAGTGCACTGTCTGCTTAGAGTTTGTATCTACTCACTGCGTTTTCTCCAAGTGCTCCAGTTTCCTCCCTCAGTCCAAAAACATACTGGTAGATTAAACTGGCCGTAGCGTGAGTGTGTATATATATTTATGTCTGTGTGTGCCCTGTGATGGACTGGTGTCTTGTCCACTGTGTGACCTGTCTTGCAGCCATTGCTTCCTGGGATAGGCTCCGGGCCTACGTGACCCTGAATTGGATAAGTTGATATTGAAAGTGATGATGTGATGATGATGTGACTGTACTAAGTACTAGGCTGTACTAAGTAGAATTTAACTTTACATTTTAATGACAATGTGGTCAGGACTGTTTCATATTAAGGAAACAGTGTCCTCTAGTTACTGTACCAGGGCAGTAGTTTTGGAAATTCTGGTCCAGAGAGAAAGGTGCCACCTACTTAACCACCGACACTACTTACAGGATGCGCTATTTTTTCTTAGCAGTCTCCTATCTCAGTACTTGTCGAGTCCAATCTTGCTTAGCTTGTGAGACCTGATAAGATCAGGCCAGAAGGCAATAATTAATTGCATTTATATAGCAATTCCAAAGGATTCCAAAATGCTTTGCAAATTCTGTAAATGTATCTGTGGGCTGCTTCAGTAGAATGCCTAGTATTCTTTCTGGCAGGCATTGTCAGTATGTGAGTGACCTTCTATAGTAACTCTCACTAAGATTGTCACAAACTGCTGTTAGGCCTTTTTATAAAACTACCTGGAAAAAAGAAAGTAGAAAAATCAAGGTGTGATGAAGCAGCAGTCCACTTTGTGAAAGATATTTTAACCTTGCAATGATTCCTAAAAACATTTGAATATATGTTATTGTTTTATATTTATAAAGATGCGCATTGGAAATCTTTTTACATTATAGGGTAGCACCATGAGAAAATAAGATTTCTTTATTTCCTGATCCAGTCTCTCTTTCTCTGTCAGTGAATTGTTCTCATCAAGAATGCAGAAGAAAAGAACAGCGAGTGATTCCATTTAAAGCACAGATGACTGTCTTTGAAATGTCACAGAAGCTTCTTGTGTGACTAAAGAGCTCAGATAGATATGAGCTGTACAGTTTAGTCATGTCGAGATAAAAGCATTCACATACCATGGCAGCTGACATCACTGCCTCTGTGTTCGGTGAAAGTTCTCTGTCCATCACCCTGGAGGGCATCGATTAAGCCTAAGCAAGCTTCTCAGTGAAAAGCAGAATCTAATACATTGGTGTCGGCAGAAGTGCTGCTCTATTATTAGTGATTAGTGATGTGTTGGTTTTAGGTAGTTCCTGATGCTTATTTAGTCAGCTCTATCATTTTATTGTTGCACATAAGAAAATTTGTGTCTAAATGAAGGCTTTTTCTATGCCATATACACGCTGAAAGCCATTATCAATCAAATAATTAATGCCTGGTGAACTACATTTACAAAAGAAAAGCCATTTGCTGTAGCTTTACAGCATGGAATTGTTTTATGAATTTAAAAAATCAGTGGACCCTGACTGGCTCAACCAACTGGTTGTTCCAGTGGGCAGGAAGGGCTCTATAGTCCAGGCATCACTGGTGTTATTCTGGCCTGTCCTATGAGCCAGCTGAGGCAGAGATTCCCAAGTAGCTTGGCACTGGCCACAATATTTTTGGCCAGCCATGCAGAGTATCCTTGCCTTGTCCATCAGCAGCACCCCTTTGCTCTACGAGATACCTTTGCAGGGGAGTCTTTTGTGTCATTGCAAGCGTTCTAGCAGTGAGTCAAATTGAGAAGGAATTGGGAATTTCAGGCTAGGAGGGTATTAAAGAAGATTTCTTGTGTTTGCTCATCCATCCATCCCTTTTCTAACAGTACAGGGTTGCAGGGAGCCTATCCTGGCAAGCAACAACTGCAAGGAAAGGATACATCCTGGATGGGACATCAGTCCATAGCATAGGAAAATTGGCCCTGGTGTGAGTATAGTACTGTTCTTGCATGTCTTTGTTTGTCTCTGTGGGCCTTGTGATGGGCTTGCATCCCGTCACAATCCAGAGTATTTCTGGCCTTGATTAAAGTGGTTAGAAAAGGGGTGGATATATATGTGGTGCCTCTTTACTTGTGAAATTTAATTCTGGTCTGGAACTCAGGTTAGCGAATGCACGCTGTCATAGAATGATGCATTTAGTAACTCTCAAGGGAGATGTTGAAAGGAATTAAGTTGATAACTGTTAGAGTGGGCAGCTATATCGGTCTGGGAACTTCATTCGAACATTTTGAGTTTAATTCCACATTGAGAACATGAAAAGTAAAGCATTTCAGCTGTGGAGCTGTCTTCAAACATCAGTTAATGAGTCCAGTGCATTCTTTGATTTTGCTTTTCAATGTGGACTTAACCTTATGTTCTTCCTAAGATGGTAAATTAAGTTTTTAGCAAATATATAGTATTAACGTTCAGTTTTAAACTCCTTCTAGACAGTCCATGTATTGTTCATTAGAGCTGAGTGACTTATCAAGGCTTATACATACTTATACATACATATGTCATACAATGTTGATATAGATAGATTTCATTCAATCTTTTAATGCATTTTTAAAAAATATTTTTTTATTTATACCTGTAGGGCATAATGTAAAAGATATGTTGTGTTTCAGAATTGTTCCTTGTTTGTTCCTGAGGTTTCAGGCAATGTGTTTCTATTGGCATGTAGAGAATTGTGCAGATAAAAGCTGTTGAGTGAGGTCTAAATTAGGAAGGTGGTTTGATAAAGAATACTGAACGAATGGAGTTGGGTTGGGCTGAGGCACTCAGAACTGCTGTCGCAACCCCTAAAGGAGAAGCAGAGCACACAGTCACCCAGAAAGTTCTTTTCTCTTCTGGTTTAAAATTCAGAAGCTGTGTGATTCCAAGGACATGTCTGAGGAAGATACTGGGGTAAACATGAAAAAGGAGGAGGTATGTGTTGTCAGCTCTTATTTTTGTGCAGGGGTGGGGAAGGGGGAGCATAGTTGTTTTTTCTGATGACCTTCGTTGAAATCAATTTTGAAATGCATTTGGAAACGCTTTTCATTTTTCTTCCTCAGGCTTTCAGTAAGCCCATTGTTGAGGACAGGAACTTAGAATTTGCCAAGAAGTGCAGCGAGTTGATAAGTGATGTAAGTATATTTTGGTATTTACAATGACTAGACATGGCTGCACTAATTTGCATTTTGTATGGGTGTTATTGCCACTTCTAAGCCTGCCATTATACACGAGACCTTGATTTGAGAAATCCGAAAGGTTTTAGTGACAAAGCCATTGTGATCAAACCTTTGGCTTTTAGCCATTAATCTGCGTAGTGGGGAAAAACCTATTAAAATTCCCCATTGGTCCAGCTCATGAAAAGAAAGGATGCTTGTTATGTGTATGGTGTAGTGCTTAGGTGTGAAGTTGGTTGAAATAGTGTTATGAGGGAAGAAGCTGTGCAGAAAAAAGGATAATGTAATTATATCATCACTTGTTGGCGTCATTTACTAGAAAAACCTATCATGGTGCCAGGACACTTGCCAGGAAAAGTAGACTATGAAAGGATGAATCAATGGATATCTTTTATGGCTTTATGGCTAATAAATGGAAATATCCTTAAGTACAACACTGACCTGTAGAAACGTTGCAAGCCAGTGCTTAAATCCATAAAAGCATACCTCATAACATAAACTAAGACTTAAAAATGCGAGTTTAATTCAGTAATAGAACACTTCTCAGAATCTGTCGGGCACCTACAGTAGTACCAGTGCACTTCAGAGTTCAACACCGAAAGCCTTTGTAAGATAGTCATACAGCATTTACTGTATGAACATGTTTTTTATGTAACCAAAGTTATATTTAAATAAATGTTCCCATCAATGGAGAGTTAAATTCTGTTTTCTTATGTCACTACTTAAGTCACTACTACTACTGTGTTTAGAACCTCATCTTATATTCCTAAAAATAGATAATGACTTCTGGAATATTACTATGGGGGCATTGTTCATACAGTCATACAGTACATTAAATGTTTTTAATGATTGAAACAAGCTAAATGAGAAATACTGTTAAAACATGCAACATTTCCAAAAACATTGTGAAGTGATGTTATTGTATTATCATTTAAAAGATTATTTAGTTTGGAGAAACGTCTGGACTCCTTTAATGGCCTGCCATTGCATACAACACCAACATTACAGTGTACTAACCACAGAATTATTCATGCTCATATTTTGCTCACAGCTTTCTATTAGTCAAAACAGGTGGTATGTGAATGTTAAATTAATATGCCCTTAAAAGTTTAAGGATACATTCAAGACGTAATCCATAGAGAGAAACTTTTAAAGGCAAAAATGGGGTAGGTCAATTACTTTTCATCTACCAAGTGAAAAGTTTCTTTTTTTGCACATTTTCATACATTGGAAGTTTCCCTAATTGCTCTCTATGTGATCCAACATTAATACTGAGCAGTTATGAAAAATCCTATAATTAAAATTGTGTTTGCTGCTTTGCAATGCTTAATGACATGCTGTCCTCCTCCAGTGCTGTGTGTGATCAAGTGCTTCAATAATTTTGACACTCCTCATCAGAACTGGTCTCTAAAGCCAGATGACACCCCAAGTGCTAAGTAATTAGCTGCAAATTTGAATCATGGAACATTCTGTAAAATGAAGGGTTTAGTTTTAGGTCATCTTATTACTGAGCCCCATTTCTATGTTGTCAAATGTTATTACCTACATGGGGTCTAAGTTTCAAAACCCATATCTTGCAATGAGAAAGAATGGGTTTGCTTTTGAACTATAATGTGACCGAAGCTTTGGACTTCCTGCAAACCTCATATGGGACTGTAGTGATGTGATGGTTTGAGTTTACTTACACAATTAAAAACTGGGAATGTGAACTCAGGGACTGCAATATGGCTAATAGGAATTAATCAATCAGATCAAACAGTGATCTATAAAATACAAAGAATACAATATACAATTGTATTAATAGTTTATTAATAAAGTAATAAAACATGCAAGATAAACTAATGGAAGATTATATATTTATAAATGTATAAAATACAAATGGATGGTTAATCATTCAGATTTAATATAATATGGGGTTAAGAGATGCTATAATTCTTTTATTCTTTTGAATGTAGTCAAAGTCATAATAATCATTCTCTTATAAACACATCAACATTCATTACTGCTTGAAAGACAAGTAAATATTCAGTTACCTTCCTGGATTAATCTTTATCAAACATATTTTTCAATAATAGTTTAATTTGTGAATTTTATAATGTAAACATTGAATGCATACCCATGGAAATAAAAAACCCTGGGCAGTCCAGATGAGATTTGTATAATTGCAGAAGGGAGAGAAACCGAAAGACCCACGTCATGGCTTGTCCAGTATTCATTGGCTGGCTGTTCTCTTGGCTCAAAATGGGGGACGTTTTCCATCTTAGCATCAAGAAGGCTGCAAGCTGAAACTTAGAGAGAAACATAGAAGGTCTGCTCGCCAATATTTTGTAGCTGCCACACTCAGTATTTGTTTATATTCAAGTGGCGTGGACAAAAGTCCAGCAGTATTATTGAATTTATTTTTTTTTTCATTTCTAAAACTACATTACAACTAGGAGCTCATCATACGGCTTTTCTTGAGGCAGGAAATTCTGGTGTCCGTAGGTCTAGGTCTCTAAGCCCGATATTCACTTTCAGCTGGTTTTGTTTCAGTTGCGGTTTGGGCAATCGGTGCTGGTGATTAGTTTGCCAGTTTAGGGTCTCGGAGAGCATCATAAACTACTGTGCTGAGGCGTTTAAGTCTCCGGAGGTGACTGTCTGTGATGTTAGCAGGTGGAGCAGATGGAGTTGGCAGCCCCATGTGACACACTCCTCAGTGGAGCATCACGCTGGGACTGTCAGTGCAGTTAAGACAGGTGCCCTGCAGTTGTTGTTTTTTAAATGCACCTCCCTCTTGGAGCTGTAGACTGAGAACCATCAATTTTAGGCACTTGATTACTGTGTCAAAATGAACATGTCCTGCTTGTCAGAGTTCCCCATCTCAGCAACATTCCTAAGAAGCTCAACTCAAAGGCGTTCCAGGGTACTTTCAGTACAAGGCAACAGAGAGAGATTATTATTATAAACTTTCTGAACACTTAATTCTAGGCGTAATCCGGGCCAGAACATACGGCTCTGTGTTATGGATGTTCTACGTATTTTTTATGGAAGAAACCAAAAGTAAAAATAATTTTGGCATTTTGTCACAAGCACTTACATCTAGAGAGACTTATAGACTTATTTATGAAGAAGAAATGCTAGAAACAAGGGGACACCATCTGATTTGTTTAGTTGCTAATAGCTAAATCAACCCTGAGGATCATTAAGAACGTAAGACTGGATTCGATGATGAACTTTGGGTCAGCAACTTTGACTACAAGTTGTAAGAATCGCTCGGGCCAAACAATGGAGCACAGGGATGTAAAGTGACTTGATTTGAGTAACACACTGAGTCAGTGGTAGAACCAGTGCTTCAACTGGGAAGCTTCTTACTCACTGTATCACCCATAAGTGTGAAAGAAAATGTCCTAAATCCTGACAGGGGGCAAATCATTTCAGAGGACATTTAGAAATGCTCACAAAAAATAACAGAGGTAGGCTGGGTTTTAGCAAAATAAATTTTTAAAATTCAATAACTCAGTTCAGTAATTTTATTTTAAAGTACTCACCTGTAATATGAATTTAGGATTGTACTGCTTATTACAAAGAAAACATGAGGGGAGATATCAAACAGATTAAGAAGGAGCAGGGAATTCCAGTCAGGAAATTGAAAAGATTAAGATTAATTGTTGGGGGTTCAGAATTGTGTACAAATAATTTATTTAAAGAATATATTGATTGTAATTTCAATAAGAATTTCTCTAATAGAAAGTTTAAAATGGACTAATGGTCCATGCATCAAAAATATTGAATCTACAATACAATATTTATCATTCATCACTTGTCAAAGCTACAGGTTTCTGAAGTTCCTATCCATTTTATGTGATTGTTCTTTGACACACTGTTGACAGAAATAGACAATGCATATAAAAGTCATTCCAATGATAGACTGGAAATTATACTTGAACAGTCTTGAAATAAGGCTGTTTGAATAATTTAACAACTGTGTTGAGAAGGATAACAATTACACAGCTGTTTTCTACATCTGGTGTCCTCTTATGACATTCAAGCGATTTTCAAAGAGTACAATATCAAATTTTAACTCTTTCTTTTCTCACAGTTTTTAAGCTAGTAATAGTAATAACAAAACTAGCAATAGAGGGTGGAAACATTTTAATGTTGTTTGTTTATGCCATTATTTGTTGTTTAGAATTGTTTATAAACATTCTGTTCTCTAACTTATATTTGAGCAAGGAAAGATCAAAATTGCTAGACATTAGCTGTTCAATTACTGGAAGAGCTTCTCTTCATATAAAAAAAAGGAATTATCTTGTGTGGAAATGTCCGAAAAACAAAAAAATCTTTTTTCCAAAAAAGAAATCATCATTCTTTCCAAGTAAGGTCCTTGTAAGGAATCTGTCTTTTATGGATTTTAACGCTTAGCTGCTCTAGTGTGATGTGATACCATTTCTTTAATGGCTATAATGCTTGGGACCAATATCAAATAATTGATTAATCATTGCTGTCAAATCAGTCATCAGCATCTCCCATCTTTCTGACAGTATAAGCTGGGCTATGGCTTAGATGGTACCTCAGGTTCAGAGGTAACACTGTTATCTCCTGGTTCACTTTCAGCAGTAACTTGGTTGTCCTCTGAGCTCTCCTATGAAGCACTAACCAGTTCTTGAATTACTGCATAGGATAAACTTCAGAAGCTCCATGAACACTGGGAATCACTGGTGTTTTACACATTGTTCTGCCTTGCTGTACAGGTCAAATATAAGGAGGAATATGAAAAATCCAAGGGCAAGTGCTGTTTTGTCCCTGACACACCTGAGTTTCAGCATGTGAAGAATCTGGGGGCATTTATTTCAGAGGTAAGGCGTGGTGAGTGTCCTCATCAGTTCAGGTATTTTTAATTGCTGTCACATTGATGAGTGCACCTTTACGAATGCATTCCAAAGACTTTTGTTACCTGGGCGGTGTTTGTTTTTTGTATTGTGATTTATTCATTAACTGAAGCACTGACATGCACTATGATTATTTCATCTGTGCAAATATCATCCCTTCGTGGATGTCGTCTTATAATAACACCCAGTAAGACTGCATGCCAAGCTTATATGACCTTAAATGGATATAGTACGTTGACAAGTACATCGCTACAGTACATCATATTAGCAGAGTACAGAGTGAAGGAGGAAGATCTGATAATTATACAGACCTCAGGGAATCTTTACCAGGCAATTACACATATGACTCCGAGCAAGAGTGTGGAAATTAGTATGATAAATAGTTAGAAGATAACCAAAATGGGGAAAAAAATCAGCCTAGCAGCAGCACCTGTTAGTGTTATCTGAAATTAAACTCTATAAAAATAAGCACTTCCAGACCTTAGGAGACAAAAACTGTAGGTTCTTTGCATACCATTGACAAAGTACTTGTTTTAGGAATGTGAATTATACTTTCTTTTTTGGTTTTAGGTTTAGGTTTTTCTTTCTGTCTTAGTACTTAAACAGTCTTTACAATCTCAAAAAGGAATAATAGTGAAAATGTCTTTCTTTATGTCAAGATAAACCTTTTGGTAGCATTCTCCTCATTCGTGTCAATCTTGATAATGTTACAGCATCATTGTCCAGCTGTTTCCTAACTGCTTCATCCAACTCAGGGTTGCAGGGGAGCTGGAGCTTATCTCAGCAAGAAACTGGCACAAAATGGGATACACCCTGGACAGGACACCACACACACAAACACACCAGGGCCAGTTATCCCAGAAGCTAATTGACCTACCAGTAAATTTTTGGACTGTGGGAGGAAACCAGAGCACCTGGAGGAGACACACAGGGAGAAAATACAAACTCCACACAGGTAGAAACCCACATCTGGAATTGAACCCAGGGCTCTAGTGCTGCAAGGCAGCAATATTACCCACTGTACCACTGTACCACCCACAATTGCATCTTCAATTGCATTGATGTTATTTAAAACAGCCGGTTATTCTGCGATCTATTTAACAATGGATGCCTCTAATGTAACACATTTCACCTTTGAAACTTTCAAACTGACACAGGAGAGACATAACCAATTTACAAAGCATCCTCTAGATGCACAGTTGTGAGACCAATATTCTGCTTTTTCACCAGAGAGCTAGGGCACCTCAGGGAAGATAAGTGCCATTTTCGCCACTAACCACAAAGGATCCGGGGAAACCTCTGGGATCCATGTTGTGCAGTGTTAAGACCTTACAAAATATGTCTAGGGTTTGATCAAAAGCAGCAACATAAAGATCGGGTTCCCCTGGGAAAACAAATCAATTTTATTATCATGACAAATTCAGGGAACCAGAAGTCAACATTCATATTCAAATCGGGAGGGGAAAGCCAAAAAAAAAAGAAAAGCAATACCCAAGCAACGCTAATTGACTATAAAAGAAAAATAAACACAATAAAAAAGACTAGAACCGGGACAAAAAAGATGGGCGTGCCTAAAGAATAAGCCCGTACCAAAAAATAAGACTTCCGCATTCTATACCTATCTACACTAACAAAAAAAAACAAAAAGAAACATCCAACATGTCTTCCCCCATCCCAAAAACCATGCATCCCGTATCCAATCTCTCGGGGTCCCTCCCCCTGCAGTCTCGTCTTCCCCTTTTAATTGGTCCCACCTCATCCGCTTAATTAATTGGCAACACCTGGGAAAAGAGGAGAAAGGGCCATTCAAAAACAAAAATAACACTCCAACCAAGTTTGAAGACCGTAACAGCAGTGCTTTGAGGATAACCGAGCTAATATATTAAAGAAGAAATAGCCTGCGTCAGGATGAGTATCCCTGCTCCGAAACTATTGCCCAGGAGAGCTTACAAAACAAAGACTAGGGAGCAAAGGTTTCCAAGCAGCTACGTTCACATTGAGACCATTGATAAAGTGATGACATTTTTCAAGAAACATTCTTCACTTTTGAACCAACGTTTTTATCCTGTAAGGTGCAAATTGCATCAATACCCACTTTTTCCCTTTGTTTTGTAGTTATTTCCAATACACTACAGTATGTACTGTATATTACATGAGCTAGGAGCTCTTAAAATGAACACATCTGCCAGACATGTTAAATTAATTTTAAACTATACATGGGTAGTTTTCTGGTAGTACCTAAGGGCATTAAACATTTTATACATATAAACAATAAGATTTATTATCACAAGAATGGTTGATTGTGAAATTGCAAACATTATGCAATATAGACATGGCTTAAGCAAACTAGGTAATTACAGACCTTACTTATTTCTTTTATCTGTCTTAAAAAGGTGAATCTGATATAGATTTCTAGAATTCTTTGACCAAACAGTAACTCTGGATGCAGGTTGAGTCTATGATATGTTGCTGGGGTCTGTAAGTGGGGTTCCTTAGTAAGGTACAGTACTTAAGCTTAATTCTGTAGTAATAAAAGGCAAAGTGTGTATGGAAATCAAAAGTTGTAGGAGGGAACAGTTACTAGGCAACAGCTATTCCAATTGTTTTAAAAAAGTGAATGACGTAGAAACAAGAGGTTTATAATCACCCTATAACAAAGACTACAAAATCAGTAATGGGATTTTAAAAAGACAGCATTCAGGACGGAATGAAAACCTGGCGAAGGAAATGTATTATTGGCAAATCCAAAATAGCATCAGTATGACTTCCTTTTAGTCTGATCGTGTAATTTCTCAGAAACAAAGCAATGTTGGGCCAATTCAGGCCTCGAATTGGAGACCTCTAAGGAAAACCTTAAATAATGCTTCACTTTGTCACATGCATGTTCCAAAACATGTTCCAAAATCTGTATGGAATCGATTAAAAATAGATGGTAAAAATGTAAGGGTATTCTGCTTGAAGCATTGAACAGAAAAATCCCAAAAGCAATTAAATCAGGGGCTAGAAAGAAGCATTTATGACCAACAAATCTCTGGTATTGTTCCATATTTATAAGTGAGGGAACAATTGGTGTTCCTCATAGACCATTAACAAAACTCTTCTGTCCCACAAGACAGAGGTCATAGCCATTGACTGGAAATTTGCTAATTGAGCACATAAAATGGCAACCAGATTCAATCAAGTAATAATAGACCAATAGGATTTGCTTCTCTAACTTATAATATTACGGAATGTTAATTAGAACTAAACTGGAGGATGTTCTGTATGGAAATAGGATTCTATGTGATAGTAAACATTGATTTATTTAAGGCAGGTTTTGCTTCGTTAGAGTTCTTTGAACAGGTAATAGTTGTAATTGAAAAAAAAACATAGCAGATGGTACAGTATATTTAGATTTTTAGAATGCTTGAGTAACAAGAATAACTGAAGAAGGATAATTCTCACTTTGGGATGATGCAATTAAGTGGATACCATAGGGTTCTGTATTTGGACCAGTTCTAATTTACTGTATATCAATTAGATTCTGGTATACTTAACCAATTAGTTAAATTTACAGATCGTATCAAAAAAGGAGGAATAGCAAACACTTTAAGCTATAAAGAAAATTACAACAATGTTCAATACCTGACAGGTGACATTTATATGTAGACAGGTGCGGTGTCACATGCAGGTAAAACTATTATGAGAGACATTTATTATTATTACAAACCAGGGTTCCACTGTAGGGATATTCCTGCACACTTTGGCTCAGGTGGTGTAGTAATTTCTCTCAGTATTATCTAAATGAATATTCTAATAAAGCAGTTTGGTGTTCAGGGGAAACGTCTGAATACATTAAATCCACAGTTTACATACTGATTCAAACTACTCTGAAGCTATTTTATCCTTCTGATTGCCTGTAAACTTTAATCCATGAGGCTGAAGAAGTAGGAAAGTGATTCCAAATCCACTTAAATATTTAACTTTGTTTTGTTTTACAGAGTAAGTATAAAGAGGCTGGAAAGAAGGACATTTCTAGCTGCCTGTACTCTCAGATGCCTGAAACCAATGAAACCCAGCATGCCAAGGAGCTGTCTCAGATACTGAGTGAGGTAGTGTACATATTTCCACTTTCCACTGAAGAATTATATTTGTATTCACATGAAATCGAATAAATTGAATTGATTTGAGTCAAATAACTCTGTGGGTCAGCTAAAATGGCGAGGGAATTTTAAAACCGCAATGTTTCCTGCGCTAGTGGTAGTGATTGGACGTAGTTTATGTTTATGTGTAGTTTATGTGAAAGACTTATGTGAATTCCTGCAATTAAGTAACTAACTTACCTTTCCCTCCAGCAACAGAGAGTGACAAACTAGGTTTGAGTCCAGACTAGAGTCCATCAAAAAACTCCGGACATTTGCCGTTTTCCATAAATACTGCTTCTCAGCAGCATTATTTTAAAAAAAATAATGATAGCAAAAGTAATTTTACATCTTAAATTCACTTTTTGTTCTTTTTTCAGGCTAAGTACAAAGAAAATGGGAAAAGGGAGTTTTCCAATTGCCTTTATGCTAACCTACCAGAAACCTCAGAGATCCAGTTTGCGAAAGAATTGTCAGAGATCCAGAGTGAGGTACAGCATTCACATTTTAGGAGATGAAGTATTATTGCTTGTACAGTATGTAGCCTAGTATATTGTGAATGGACCCAAGTGTGTGCTTACCATACTATAATTCCCTTTGCTATCTGAAGTAAAGAAGACAGATGTCAATAAAAGCATAGAGAATGTATTTGAGTCAGGCATTTAACATATATTTTCTGCATTTAATATGAGGCATTTCATTTTCAACCAGCTAAATTGTCGTTGGGTTTACATTTTCAGAGAAAGTACAAAAAGGATGTGAAAAGAGAATTCTCCAGTTGCCTGTATGCAAAGATGTCCAACACAACTGAAACCCAGTTTGCAAAAGAGATGTCAGAGAATCTAAGTGAGGTAAGCCCAAGGATTTTAGTCACGGAACCTGATCGGTATTAAGTTTCACAGGAAGAGTTGAGTTCACCTGACTGCCTGGTAGTTAGGGGTCTTTGCAGGTCGAAGAAAAAAAAATCTAGATTACTTTTAGTTTCAAAGGATAACAAATTAATCATTAAGCAAAATATCTAAGTCAGAAGGAAAAGCATTTGTAATAAACTTGTATAGCATGAAGATCTGTTTCTGAGCTTTTGTATTTTCTAAGTTTTAATTTAGAATTTATCTCACTTTTTAAGTTTATTATTGTTAGAATTAAAGTTAGTAATCTAACGAACTATATTTAAGGACTTCACAGTCTTGCTCCTGAGGAACCACAGTTCTACTGGAACCACATTGAAAAGCTTGGAAGCAGTGTTAATTCAGAGCCATTGAATCAATAATTAATTCATTGGAACAGTTACAGTAGGTTTGGTAGAACTCACAAGATCCTGTGGACCTCCTTATTTGAGAGTGTTAGATAGTGGTACAGAAGAAAGGCTAAAAATTGTGCACAAATCAGTAAATCAATCCACATTACCCAGTCTAGACCCAACCTTACAGCTGGTGTTCGTATGAATGAAGACAAAGGCATTTAAGTTTAATCTATTCATTGTATGTGGCATTGAATCAGCTGCAGAATGGTTCTTCTGAAGACACATTTACTGTACATGTAAACTTAAACTGTATTTTAACTGTTTTCAGAGTAAGTATAAGCAAGCTGGGAAAAGAGAGATGTCCACTTGTCTTTACGCCCAGATGCGAGAAACCACTGAAACCCAGCACGCCAAAGAGCTTTCCCAGATTCTGAGTGAGGTACAGAACACATACTTCTTGTTATTTGTGTTTATATATTTATTATATTCAATGTGTATGTAGGCTTCTTCCAATGGTATTATTGCATTGAACAAAGTATAGATTTGTGTTTGTCTAGTTTCATGAATGGGCATGTTGAAATTGAGTGTTTATTTTGGATGTTATTTTTTTACCTTACTGTAGTTCTTTGTGTCTCTGTACGTGCTCTACATCTTCACACATTCAAATATAGGTGAATAAAGCAAAAGTCACTACATATCTTATATCAATTTATCCACCAGTATCTGGTTGTTGTGTGGGTTTGAATTGCCATGGTAACTATAGTAAAATACCTTCTGAAATGGCTGCTTTGGGAATATTGTCAGAAAGCAAGACTGAGACAGATGTTTTCATTAAACACTGTCAGATACAATAGTTGTCATCAGATAGACCCCTGTCCATAGAATAACTTTCTAACAATTAATTCCATGGATCTTAATTTTTGAGGTCACTGAACTCATTTATAATTCAAACCATATACAGTAGCAGATATGGAGCATCTGACATCATAAAAAATGTTTGTACTGGGAGCTATTGTGTCCCAGTTGTAGAGCAATGCAGATCTGCTTCCTCAATTCACTTCCCCCTATTCAAAGTCTGGAAAACCTTTTCATGAACAGTTTGCACTGCAGTACTGTGGTAGCTAACAAACAGCACAGTTGAAGCAGAAACAACACCCAGAACCTCCCCTTAACAAACAGAGAAATAAGAAATAACAGGAAGGTACACAACCTATAGAATATTAGTCTAAATCTGTTCAAATCAACCTTTCTTTGGAAAAATGTTATTTACCACCAACTATTAACAAACAGTACTCTGTAAACAAAGCATATTTTGTTGCCTGATCGATTTTTAAGACTGAACTTATATGTATTTTCTCTGTGCAGATGTTTACCCATAAAGATTTACTGAATGTTTACTTTTTTTAGAAAAATTATAAAGAAAGTGGGAAGAAAGATATCCCATTTTGCCTTTATGCACAGATGCCACAGACCATTGAAACTGTATTTGCAAAAGAGGTAGCACATAATCAAAGTAAGGTAGGTATGCAACAGGTGAGGGAGGCAGGGGTAGACAATCGATTTCTAAAAGGGGGACCACAATTTAAGATAATTTAAGATACACTAAAATACATATCAGATTTAAACAAGCACGCTACCTATCCTCTGTTATTCCATATGACCTTTTATTTATAATATCTGTCAACTGTTTAGAGAAATCAAACTGCCAAACAAAATATTGGCCTGTACTTAATATGTAGCATTGGTATTTGGTGACCATTATGAGCCTAGAAAATAAGACTTAATAAATAACAAAACAAAATGTTCTAGTTCAAATGAGTCCCTTACCACAGATCATAATACAGATTAGAATTCTGGCACATTTTGAAGGATGCCAGGTTGCAATCTCAAAATGAAATTTCTGCTGTTCAACACAACATTGTATTTGAGCTTACAGTAGGTATAGTTAGCTCAGTGGTATTATAAAGAATACACTACATACCCTGAGAAGGTAGGAGTTAGAAAATTGAAAGACATTCCACATGCATATTTGGTTACACATTAGCAAGTCGTAAGTGAAATAAATTCAAATTGAACAAATTTACAGTATTTTTCTAATAGTGTTGCAATCACTGGAGCATAAGTTTCAATGTAGACCAGTTAGACCAAACAATACCCATTTTAAAATTGTCCATCAGATTTCTTTCCATCCAATAACATGAGTTGAAATCTGGCAGCTCTGTTGTACATGTAAGCTGTACATATTATTCATTAAACAGTATCTTTTCCACAGAGTCCGTAGTGTCAGCTCAGTGACACTTGTATGAATCTGAAATTAATTAAGATTCTCAAAGTTTACTGGGATTGTATCATAATACTAAGTTATTTGTATCCTTCAGAACTGCTGGCAATTCTAAGTAGCACCATGTAGAAAATGGTTGCTTCTGCTAATGTTTATTATTATACCAAAAAGCATGTACCAAGATTTTCACTTTAATGTTTTGTTCTCGCATTAGAATTCCAGTGTGTAAAATTTTCTCTTCATCTCATCTTTTTTGGGACATTTACTTTTAGGTGTGTTTTCTGTGTTCTAAAAAAATGTATATCAATATTAAAATATTAAGTGGGTGTTCCATGTAATAGTTGGTATGTAACAGAAACCAATGAATAGAAAGTAATATTCACACACCACAACCAATCATTGCACAGAGGTATTAATGCTGTCTCTTTGCTCCATTGCACAGATACTGTATAAACAGAAGTATGATGCAGAAAAGGGAAAGTCAGATTATTCTAATATGAAAGAACCCCCAGATGTAGCTCATGCCATGGAAGTTAATAAGCATCAAAGCAATGTAAGTACCCGCCCGTTCACAAAGAATTCACCTGAAATATCATGTGAGTAATTCCAAACCATGTATTTCACATTGTTTCTCATCCACTAAATAGAAGTTTTATTTGTGCTCTACTGGGAATGTTTATAAATGAGGAAATTATACCTAGGGTAAGATTACTAGAGATGTTAATTTGCAACTGAACCTCTGGAGAACTTAGTCCAACAAAACACGCTCAACAGTCTGGGTAGTAATGTCAGCCTTGATGTCTTACAATTTCAGTTCTACTCCCAGTCATCCAGATGGATCCAGTTCTTTAAAGAAATAGAGTTTATAATTTCACAAAGGAAAAAAAATACACCACTTGCTTTACATCCAAACCCTTATTTTAATTTAAAAAGCCAAAGTAAAAGTCAGACGTCCCTCAGTGATTGAAAGAAATGCTCTCTCTATCCTTTACAGTCACTCAGATGACAAACATGAATATTGAACTACTGTTCTATTGCATTTAATCAAGCGCAACAGCAAAAAGAGGTTGGAAAAATTGACAAATTTAAGTTATTTTTACAAATTACAAGTTAATAGAAATCTATCATAAAAATAAATGTGTTATTGACAAGAAAGAACACTTAGGTACAATAAAAACCAGGTGCAGTAATCAGTTTGCACATGTACATCCTGAAACTGAAAGTAAAATAAAGCTTTGGATTTGAAGTGAATGGAGCACTCTTTTATTTCTTTATTGATTATTTTTTGTTTGCACTTCCTCCCATTGTTGTAGGTTGTCTCCATATCTTTTGTACAGTATATACTGTACTGTACAAAGCCCATAGCTTTGTTTGCTTACACATGTCTGAATTTATATAATTTCTACCCCCATTTCAATTTTGCTTTACATTAAAAAAATTGCCCTTTCATGTATACTACTGCGGCATCCTATGATAAATGTGGTTATAAAATACCAAAATCATTAACCGAATTACCTTTTGTTCTTTCAAAAGCGGGTTTGGTCCACTTTAGTTATGTGCCGTTTTTATCGATCTAGATGATATGGTGTTTTTACAACATGATTCTACCCTGAGGACAGGAAGACAATGTTTATTTGCAGCTTATCAAGAACATCAGAAATGAAGGCTATTTGAGGTTTTACAGTTTCCCTGTGAAACAAATGAAAAAAATTATTGTGCACTGCTGTTTTATTACACTTTGTGGGGCTGTTGTTTAATTCTTCACTTCTCTTTGAAAAAGCCTTTTTTTATTTTCCCCCAAGGTTAATGCTGTCTACTGCCGGTGCTACAGAATTCATAACAGTGTAACATGATGCCTTAACTTTCCTGGTGAACTGATTTCTCCATAGAAAATCATTATCGGTTCCCTTCAAAATGTAGTGTTTTAATTGAGAGATTAACAATTGTTAATCAACAATTGCTGTCTAAGATAACTGTGTTTTTTAAAGGTTACATACAAGAAGGGAATGCAGGACATTCACAAGTATAAAGATGTAGCTGACAGACTAGACATCAGGAATGCAACAGAGACTACAAAGCTCATCAGTGATGTATGCATCTTTTCTTTTTCAGTTTACCTACTGTATAGAATGAAATACAGTTTACTGCAGTTTATTAATTCCTCTTGATATAATGTTTTACCTTAAAAGAAGACTTTGTCTTACCAGAATATTGCTATAGTCACAAATCTTATTCATTCTACAGTAAGTGTGAAATGTCATGTAGTTCTTTAAAGGAGCCATGTCACAATTTCTTATGTGGCAGTTTAAACGTTCCTTCAAAAGTCTCAGGAAGACTACATCCTCAGGAATGTATCCCTGCTATGATGTAAGGAAGTTATCTATCTGACCAGGATTTCCCTGGCTTTATAAATTTGAATTTATACATAAATTATTATTAAATGGGCAATGAAAAAAAATCACTGTTGTACTTTACTGTATCAACATAGTGATCACGCAAATCTGCAGTGTCAGTATGCTGCTAGTTACTTTTGAATAATTAACCATAACAATTACTTTAATGTCAATGTGTTGTGTTACACGATAGTGACACTATTTTCTACTAGCCTGTTCTGGAAATGAGCAATACAAACTCCTCAGGTGTTTACCTACCTGAAATACTTTTACTTTGTATTTGATTCAGGTGGCTTATAAGAGCAAAATGAAAGCAGATGTCTATAATCATCAGTCGGTCTTGGGAAGATCTGATATTGAGCATGCCAAAGAGGCATCCAAACTCGTCAGCCAGGTAAATTTGCCATGTGTTGGAAAAGACTCTCCAGCTTATTCCCATTTATAGTGTTGTTAAACAGACGTTTGAGAGGAAGTCAGATTGTAATTTTGCACATCTGCTGTCTTACGTATAAATTCTTGCCTGCTGTCAACATTTCTGCACGCAACTTTTCTGGCCCTCCTCCCTCTACCTCAGCTGCACCCTCACAGCTGCCTCCCTGGCTCATTCCTCTCAACTGAGGGGGGTTGTGACAGCGCTGATCTGCTGCCAGAACTGTCATTTTCTTCAGCCAGTGTTAATGCCAAAGTACGCTTTCCCTTCATACTGTATTTGTCAACTCCTTTCGCCATAATGAGAAATTGACTGAACTATTGAATTATAGCCAGGTGAAGCTTCTTAAGGACTGATTTGGGTATTATTACAGCATGGAATCTTTTTTTTTCAGTTACTGTAGTTAATCATTTTTTAGATCTTGAGCATTTTTCCTTTGGGAATCAAAACTGTCTAGTCATGTCAGACATGCCCATTATTCTTTCTATCACCTTTAATAAGGACATTATTTTTCCTTACTTGGCCATTGAGGCTTTACAGCAGCTCAACAGCAAGTGTTTTGACGCAAGCTATAGACAGAAATAGTTTGCCAAAATGCAGATTTGGAGGCGTGTTGGCGTGTGAGTTCTGAGGAAAGCTGTCTGCGTCATGCCAATGTCTTTGGTAACAGGTGAAATACAAAGAGAAGTTTGAGAGGGACCTGAAAGAAAAGAGGCATCAGTACAATCCCGGGGAGAGTGTGTCCTTCAAACAGACACAGGCTGCTACGGCCTTGGCAAGTCAGGTGAGTCATATACTGTAGATCATACTCAACCAGCAGTGCTGACTCAGTCCAAACAAATCTAGGGTGTCAGGACTGCAAATGCAGAGAATTTTCACCGAGGCCCCAAGGCTTTTCAGAGGAAAGATCACAAGGCTCAACTTGAGTGCCCTGTCACTGAAGGCATTTTTTTGTCCTAGAATAATCTGTTATTTTGTGAAAAGCAAAAACTGTTTACAAATGTCCTGTACATAGGAGAGTTGTGGGGTGATGCTAAACCACTTGGATGCTGCTAAATAACCTTGAATTAGCAATAAATGGCATTTAGCATGTTAATTGTAAAGTTAGTGAACTAGTGAAAAGACAGTGCCAACACGCAACAATGTGTTGGGTGTTACAAGATAAATTGCACTTTTCTCAGGTTAATGGTATTATTGAGCTGTTATAATGAAATGCATGATACTGGTGTTATTTACATTGTGCTGTAGAGGTGATTGTTTATTTGTTTATCCATATTTACAGGTGTTAATTATATCACAGAGTTAATGTTAGAGAAAAGCAAAAACAACAGGAAATCATGGTGAAGAGCATTATGAATGAGAAAAGCTTGTTTGTCTGTGATTCTAGGTTTCAAATTGAGAATGCTAATTTACGGCTTCATTCTGTTTTTTCTGTGAACATGTGTCATGCATCCAGAGCATTTTCAAGTGCATGTATTTGAAATCCTGTAGCCAAGCAGCAGTCTCCATGGAAACCTTTTAATGGAAAATTGCGGGCTGTAGGAAGTCTAGAAGTTGTGAGTGTGCACGCAGTTCATTGGCAAAAAGTGTAGTGTATGGCTGAGATAACATAAGCTCCTTGTGGCATCACATATATATTAGTGCTTCTGTATTCAATTGAGTTTTTAAAGCTAACTGGATGCTCACTCAATTTGCAACATCTATTTTTAAGAATGACAGAAAATACTCTAAGAAGATATTTTTTAATATGTATTGTTTTTAAGCAAACTCTTACCTGTCATGCATTAATTTAATGTGGTGATTTTCCATTACAAAGAATTTTTGAACATCAAATACAGGAGCTGTAGTGATAAATCTATCACAGCTTAATTTGTGATAATGAGAGTGTGTTGTGTATTTTGTCGTCTTTCTGTTCTGCCATATATCACTATTCAAAAGGGAGATAATTATTTCATCTATCCCTCATCTTTTCTGAATGTACTGTAGTTACTTTACAAGGGTCTTAATTTATTTCAGCCAAAAACAAATTTCGATGTCTTGGTTATTGACAGGCTTGAACTGATAACTTTGAAGGAGCACTTTGGAATAAACGACTGGTGTTTATTATGATGTCATGTTTCACGCTGCTGAAGCTCAGCTCTTTGGTTATGGGTTTCATTCTGGCCCGGTGCTTGTGTCACCCCTTAAGCTGTATAAAAGATGGATGGATTTATGTTTTTTCACTCTGATTACTGCACATTGAAAATATAAATCCTGAAATACTGGAGATCATGTCCAGTGACATCAGAAGATCAGTATTACAGTGCAATATTTTAGTGAAGTAATAAAAAAGTTATTTGCGTCATTACAAATCATTAATTTATGGCGTGGAATATTGCAATACTGACTAGGTACATTAAAACCCCAAGGGGGTTTGCGCTGACTGTGATTTAAAGAAATCTATGTAAGCTTCCATGTGAACTGATTTGTAGATCACAAAAGAGTTACTGATGAACTAATACAAACTAACTGAACAGTTTTGATTTCCGTGGATTCCAGTTTTGAAAGGCGGATTTGGGGATTTTTCAAATTAAGATGCACAACCTGGAAATTGTAAACAAGGAAAATTCAGACTCTTGTTTTGCAGTAGCATTTTTGTCAAATGTCACTGGAAGCTAGACAAAATGTTTTTAGTCTTTTACCCAGAGGTGGTAGTTTAGAATCTATTGTGGTGCTTCCGAGTGGCACAAGGGTGAGCATTGCTGCTTTGCAGCATTAAGGCCCTGGGTTAAGTTTTGGCCCTGGGGTGCTGTGTGTCTGGAGTTTGTATGTTTTCCCCATGTTTGTGTGAGTTTCCCCTAGGTGCCCTGGTTTTCTCTCACAGTCCAAAAGCATAGGGGTAGCTTAATTGACTTCTGGGAAAATTGGCCCTGTGTGTGTGTCTGTGTTTGTGGCTGTCTGCCCTACGGACTGGTGTGCCATCCAGGGTGCCCCTCCCTTTGCCTGTTGTATGCTGGGATAGGCTCTGGCTCCCCTTTGACCCTGAACTGCAAAGAAGAGGTTAATAAAAAGGTAGATGGATACAATGACAGTAGCGGCAACTGAAACTAGTGACCTTATTTCAGGTACCTTTATCCCTCTTTCTCTCAGGTGAAATACAAGACCGGTTTGCAGCAGATGCATGAGCCCTCTACAGATCTGCCAAACACTCTCCATCTTGAACATGCGCTACAAGCCACCAAGCTGCAGAGCGCGGTATGATTTCCGATCTCCCTCACTGATAATTGGGACAATGAAATATCCTGTTCGTTGTCCATTGCTTCGCATCCGATCATTAGATTTGTAGATTACCCCTCGGAATCATGCACATTGCCTATCCATCTGCTTTTTTTATCGCACTGCGATGCCTGTGAAATGACTGCCAGAGCACAGACTCAACTGTCTCTGGTTTGAGGCTTTGTGGTAGCATTTTGGCCAGCACCACCCCCACACAATTGTCGCAGCTTTGAAGCAAACCGGATTGCATACTTCTAACCAGCAATGCTGAGGCTCCAACACTCAGCCCTGCACTCCAAGTGTACAGTTTTCTGAGATGTGCCAATCATGAGTCTAGCTGTTAACCCTGAAAGAGAGAGGCGAGAATTTAATAACTGCCAAATAGCCCAGAAAAATCCAGTTAATACAGTACATCCTTCAGGATGTGTGAAGGTTTACACATACAGTAAGAGGAGGCCTATTTACATGCTTTTGGTAGTTAGTAGTTAAATGACCCAAGGATCTCTTTCTGCTGTTCCTTGAAGAACCCAAGGTGTTGGTTTTTATAATATGGCTGGGAAGATTGTGTAAAAAGCTCTTTGTCTTCAAAAGGTGTTACTTAGATCCAGTTTGCTTTGGGATAGACACAGACCTAATTATAGCATGAGTTCACAAACCTCTAATTTGGGTGCTCCAACAATAGCAAAGTTTTTTGAAAACCATTGAATGTGTGGGAATGGATCTACACATCCACCCTTCAGCTGGGAAAGAGCTGAAATATTCATGAGGACGTGTTGGATGTGGTTATTATGCCATTAATGGTAAACTAAGGTGAAAGTGTCACAATGTTAATGTGTAGAGGTTCAAATGAAAAAGGTTTACTTAGCAAAAGTAATGAAAATGAAGGGAGAAAAAAACAAAAGCACCTCTTCTCCTGCTTTCAAGTGTATTCATTGCATGCAGTTTGCTGTTCCCTTTCAGATTGAATACAAAAAGCAGTATGAAGAATCCAAAGGTCATTACCACATAGCTCTGGACACAGCTGAGCAGCTTCATCATAAAGAAAATGCAGTGCTCCACAGTCAGGTATGTCTTCTATGAGATAAAGTGTGTTTGAGAGCTGGAGGCTGTGTGAGGACTGCTAACGTGTGGTTTCTACTGCATTATTTACACAGGTCAAATATAAAGAAGATTATGAAAAATCTAAAGGCAAGTCAATGCTGGAATTTGTGGACACTCAGACTTATCAGGTTTCAAAGGAGGCTCAGAAAATTCAAAGTGAGGTACTGAAAAAAGATTGCTTTTAAATGGCATAAGGACTTAGTGAAACTTCTCACCCTGAATGCTGGACCTTTCAGTATTACACATAAAAGAGCAATTTATTTAACAGGTCAGAAAAGCACATTAAATTTACACAGGTAAAACCAAGGGACCAAGGGTAGTAAATTATACATTAGAAGCTCAAGTGAAAATGTGTTTTTAAGCAAGTTTTATAACTGTTGACAGTCGCAGAGTCTCAAAGGGGTTTGAGCAATGAGTTCTGCAGAGATGATACTGCACACAGGGCTCTGTTGCCCACTATGGCAAACCTGGCATTTGATACACAAAAAAGTCCTGAATGAGCAGATCTTATGTATTAGTGTTGCATATTTATATTATATAGTTATATTTCTACATATATATTATTTAACTAATAAGTTAAATAGCCTGGACCCAGACCATTGATGGATGTATGCTGTACGTATGCTGGGAGACCTAAACATCCTGCCTGAATTTCACAGGGATCCATTACAATTTTAAGAGGATAGGAATTCTGTGCAAATGCACAGAACATTTAGTTTTTTAAGTTTCATTTCACAGTCCAAAGACACACTAGAAGGTTAATGGCATCTGGGAAAACTAGCCCTGGTGTGAGTGTGTATACCTGTCTGTGTTTGACAATGGACTAGTGTCCCATACAGGGTCACTATCCTATTGCTTGCCAGGATAGGCTCTGGCTCCCCTGCAACACTGATTTGGAAGAAGCAGTTAGGAAACAGATGGATAAATTGTAAATTGGAAATCCTCCAGAATACTACAGATACCCGTAGTTGAAAAAGCAAAACACATTATTCTAGATTTCTTATTTTTGCTGTGTATTTTTCAGCACTCTGTTCTTTATAATGGAAAATAAAATTGAGGACAATGGTGCTCTGTTGCATTTTGTAATGCCAGAAAACATATTCAGTATCCATAAGTATTATTTGATTCTGTGCACCCTAATTTAATAAAATGGGATATTAATGCCTGAAAAAACTTTTGGAATAAAATACCAGTACAGAATGTTTTGGAAAAGATATTTGTGTTTCATTTGTTAAGCGCCTTCACAAAGATGCATTTATGCAGATGCATAGTGTCCAAATGTATCTTGGTTTGGTTTCAGAAAGAATACAGAAGAGAATACGTCGACAATATCAAAGGCAAGGCGATGGTGGATCTTGAGTTGACTCCAGGGTACTTACACGCTCGACATGCCAGCACCCTTCTTAGTGAGGTGTGGATCTTTCTTTCCATATTCAACTGACATCCAATTTCTTATTCGGGGTGACAAAAATAACTCTGCTGTGGTCCAACGCATTCAGTGAGAGGCCCGATGAGAGTATCTCGCCCAAGGAGAGGTAGACGTTTGCTCGTCTGACTGTACCTCCCTGATGAAAGTGTGGGATTAACCAGACAGGGCTGTCTGAGCTCTCAGTGACACAGCGACCCCTGTGGTGTCCTAGGGTCCTGCAGTATGCACTGCTGTCGCTGACTGATGCCCCAGGGCAGCCCTTGCAATTGATGAATTCAATATAAAAGAAGACTCATGGTGGAAGCTCCTTGCTTTAGACAGCCTGAAGATTCCCAGTCCACTTTTCAGACATTTTTAGATAAGTTGTTAAACTTTTAACTCTGCTCAAGCGAACAAAAGGCGCATACATATTAGGCAGCTGAATGCTTAGTGTTAATATTTAAAAATATATGTATTTAATATCTCTTTTACATGTACAGTATGTAGTCCTTGGGGATCAAACAAAAAAACGTCAGGGCTCAGAAAATATGGTGTTATACTTTTCCACCTCTTGATGTTTAAGTACCATATAAACCTCCATTACAGGATATTTTTATTGTACAGTAAAATGCTGAAGAGCACCTCAGTTTTACTTCAAAATGATTTTTCACTTCCACAGAGTTCCCATAGTACAACCCTCTCATGTGACTGTCGATTCCCTCCAGTAAAAATAGTTTTGCAAAATATAAGAAATGCATTGGTCAATTAATATTGTCCATCTACTATATCTAGTACCCCAACTGCAGCAACCCTTGATATTACAGTACAGTATATTGAACAGAAAAAAATATATTACTGTACTTTTTGTCTGGAAGGAGAAGAGTAAAATTACCAGTTTACTAATCAGTGACAGTGCATAGCAGGAGTGATATCAGCTTCATTGGTATGTACTGTGATTGACAACAAACATTGAGATAACTGGATTTACCTATTTATCAATAATTTTGACTTTGCAACCCTGAGCATAGTACTTTTAAAATGTGAATTGGGAGTTCAACCTTTAACTATGCTGTAAAAAAAGGTTCTGTTCAACAAAAATACTTTGGTTGGTATAATGGTTTTGGAGAGTTCCATAAAGGTTGTTCTGAACAGCTTCCCTTTGATTATGATGGCTTTTGTCTGAAAAACTGTGCTACTTGAAATTTACATTGAAGAATGGCTCCTTCTAGTGGCTAATTTTAAGAAAACAGGAATTTTCCAATGAGCTACCTCTATTGTGGCAAAGTATCCTGTTCCACTAAATTTGCCCTGCTGTTCAGTTCAGAGCTTAAAGTACAGTAACGACAGTACAAAAAATTTCAGTACAGACATAAAATCTGACATCCTTTTAAAACTATTCAGTAAACGGGATGTTAGTAGCACTGTATTTTATTTGAATTTTGTTAGTAATCCTATTTCCACACCAAAGCCACCCCACCTACAGTTTTCCAGTTTATTAGGTTATTAACCTTTTTTCTTTGAAGTAAACCTTTAAAAATATATTTTGTTTCCTGAAAAGTTCCTAAGCCAATTTAGCAGACACAATTATGAGTTTGTATTCTCTTCACTTGATTAATAATTGGGTATATTAATAATTGGTGAATGTTAGAGAGCAGACACCTCTCCTGCAGCTTCAGCATACTGAACTACACTCACAGAAGCTGTATGAAGGGCAGGGCTCCTCCTGATGATTTAATGGAGTTTAAAAAAAATGTTCTGGAGGAAGAGTACAAACCCTAATTTTGTCTCACTTCTTGCATTAAGCAATTAAGCCATTAAGGCATTCATATTTTCACATCCTTCTCTCCACCTCATCTTTACCCTTGCAGCAGCTCCCTGGCTCATTCCTCATTAAAGGAAATTCAAATTACACCTCTTCTCTGCCTTAATAAGGGCTTCGACCAAACTTCTAAGTACAGGTTTGGAAGAAAAGTCCAAGAACAGATCATTGCTACAACTGCAATAAGAGCCCACAACAGTATAATACTTGTGCAAAGTACTGTGCATTTAATGAGCCTGTGCTGCAACATTTATTGAATTGGAAGTTCAGGCATCATATTTTGGTGTTAGTTAACTTCGGAAGAGATCCTCCTGGCTAGGAGAATGAGAGCCTGACGAGTGTGGCTGAGGCAGCTGGTGGAATGAAGCATGGAGCCGTCGGACAGGCAGAGATCTGGAGGAGGGCTGGTTCTTTCGTTGATGATTATGCAAAGCAAGCAACACAGAGGCCTTAAGAGTTCACCACTGGCATTCATGCTTATCTTTAACAAGACAAACTTCATTAAATAATATGTTAAAATAATCTGTGAATGAAAAACGCATTGAGTCATTTGTCATGTAGAGATTGCTTTAGGAGAATTGCACATGAACAGATGGAACTGTGTTTTCTTTGTGCTAAAATTGTAAAACAAATGGCTCAGTTCATTCTTGGAGGGAATATAATATTATTCTGTATTTTTTCCCCTTTCCTTATCTAGAAAGAATATAAAAAGGACCTTGAGACAAGTGTGAAGGGAAAGGGACTGACAGGCTTGGAAGAAACACCAGACTTCATCAGGGTGAAAACTGCAGGGCAGATACTCAGCGAGGTGCTTTTATTCACCCACATTGTGCTATTATTCGTAATGAGTGTACAGGCTTATTGCTGGGGTGGCCAGAACCCTATCAGGGGAGGTAATGCCGAAATCCTTGTATTTCAGAAAGAATACAGGAAGGACCTGGAAAATGAAATTAAAGGGAAGGGAATGGAGGTCAGCACAGAGATTCCTGACATTCAAAGAGCCAAAAAAGCATCTCAGATGGCCAGTCAGGTGGGTTGGTATGAACAAGCAATGAGTCGTAGTGGTCAAGCTGTATGATTGAGTGGGAGCTCCAAAATGTCATACACATACGGTTGGACAGATATCACTAGGGCTCAAAGTCAGTCAGGGTGCCAAGCTGCACCCTTAGTTTTTTGGGTGTCTATGAATTTTATCAGTGTGAGAAGCAGGTTTTGCACCTGCTGTTAACTCTGCTGCTTATTCTGTGGGCTCACATTGTGAGAAATAACTGTATCTAGATAGTTAAGATATCTATTCCTGGCTTAGACAAGGGTTATCGCAGCGCGTTGAATAGTTTTATATTTAGCACTTCCAAAGTGCATTTAATTATTTTATGATGTATAAAATAATTTATATGTATGACACAATAAACATGTATGATTTCCTGTTTTATAGTATTTTCATATAAGTATTTAACACATATCAGAAATTATGCACGAAAGGCTTCACAACAGTGGAAATAGTTTTCTTTAATTTTATATCACACATTTTAAAGTGAGGTGGTTTCTTTCCAACAAAAAATAAAAATTAAAAATATGTTTTTCGGACTCACAGAGTCTCCTGAATACCACAGGGAATCACTAGACAAATTACCTCAAAATCATGATATAATACATAAAATCTCAAATAAAATAAGAGGAAGATGCACATCGCATTCACTTCTTCATTACTTACAAGTTTTGACTTCTGTTGGAATTCTCTGATACAATAATTCTCTTGCCAGCAGTACACTTTCAGAGAAATGCCATGTGTCTAGGAAATCAAGTGGCCACTTCACAGGTTTACCTCTGACACTGTCGTTATAGAAAGAATATAGAAAGGATCTTGAGACTGAAATCAAGGGCAAAGGAATGGAATTGAGCACAGATGTCTTGGAGATCAAGAGAGTAAAGAGAGCATCGGAGATTGCCAGCCAGGTCAGTGACTGCACATCTGTGATGCTCTGCTGTTTGACTGCTCTGTTCATCTAAGATGTGGCTACATTATATTGAGAAATGTGCACGCTTCCAAAAGAGAAAAGGAAAATTCTGTTTTATTCCATTTCATTGTAAAATTGAAAAATTAAATAAAATGGAGATTGCACTGCTTTAATATAAGAAATTAATTGTTGCATTTTTGTTTTTGTTTAGTTATACCTTCATACTGTATGTAGGACACAGTAAGATGTTCTTGTATTTCTTGGTGAAATTAGTCATATTTAATTGGAAGTTCTTTTACTGTACAGTGAAGTGCCCTTTAAAGCAGTCCTAAAACCTTTGTGTCTGTGTTTGAACTTGTGTGCCTTTCTTGGCAGGTGTGTGAATCCTGTGAACACATATAAAAATGATATCCACTTAATAGAGTTTAAAAAAAGGCTTGGGAGGAAAAAATTGTATAAATCTAATCTTGACCACTTCCACCCATCTTTCTATAACTAACTTATTTCTTGCATGTTTCATTTTCACATCCCTCCCTCTGCCCCATCTTCACCCTTACAGCAGCTCCCTGGCTCATTCCTCATTAAAGTGGAGTGGTGTTCTTCTCAGCTGGGAAGGTTACCTCAGTAAAGCTTACTATTCAAATTACACCACTTCTCTTAATTAGGGTTTGACTGGACAATCTAAATTAGTAATTAGAAGTAGAATTACTTGTGCTATTTTTTCAGTTGTTCTGATGCATTCCCTCTGGCAGTCACTTAGTATTTGCATTTTTAGGGCTCACTGAGGTCAGGCTGGTAACTATACAGGACATCTTATCTATTCTTTATTCTATGTGCATCTTACAGGCATCCTGTAAGCACCAGCTACGAGAGAACATGTATGGTACAGTAACAGACACCCCTGAGATGTTACATGCTGCATACCTGAAGGATATGTATAGTCAGGTAATTACTTGTACCTGCACAGGGAGACCATGCTAGTCGGTATGGTCAGTGGTATCAATACAAGATGCTTGGAAAGAGCATTAATAACCTACATTAATCATATGCTTTGAGTTTACCAAAGTGCGATGATTTTTCTTCTTTTTTAAAATCACCTTGATAAAGGTCTGTTTCAGCCATGAGTTTGTTAATGCCAATTCTGTGTTTCTATTACATAGAAAAAGTATAAACATGAGGCAGAAAAATTAAAAAGCTCATATGCTGTGGTAGCAGAAACACCAGAAATGCAGAGAGTGAAGACCAGCCAGAAAAACGTCAGTTCAGTAAGTAAAATACATATACTGTATATTCCTGGCTGTAGATCACAGATCCGAGTCATTATACAAGAAATTGTGATTAATTCTTGTCTTTCCAAGGAAACCTAAATAGTGTAGTTTAGTCTGGAAAACAGCAGTTATTAACTCATAATGATTTTATTTGGAACATTGTTTTGGAAAATTAGCTAATGTGAATATTAATTTCAAACATATTGAAAAAATGACAGTTAAATACTGTAGCTTAGCACTTAAACCTTAATGGTTTGCAGTCATCCTTCAGTCTGCTTTGTGTTAATATCCTAAATCAATGTGTTTGCAGTTGCAGTACAATAAGGACAAAATGTTACTCAAAGGCACATTGTCTTCTGTGGCAGAAACTCCAGAAATTCTCCTTGCCAAGGAAAACTCTAAGAGGATTAGCAATGTAAGTTCTTGTTTCACTTATTGAGAGACATCCTAAATGATATATCATTAGACTTTTGTATGTAACACTGTCAACTTAACCTTGTTTGCTGTTACATTAAATATTTTCTGGGTGCATGTTGAAATGTTCTAAATAACAAATTGTTGCTGTCCATTGTTGTTCTTTAATGTTCTATAGAAAATAGGCTAATTTGAAATTGTCTAAAGTTGTTGACTCAATCTGAAGCGATTAGAAGCATAAAACACATTTTCCCACAAGTTAGTTCTCTTTAATTGATTTGGAAAACTGTGTACATTTATAGATCAGGATCATTAATCAGGATTTCAAGTTGCTCGCTGTCATGTTTTAACTGGCAGTGTAGCACATACTTTAGTTAGACTAAGCAACTAAGCAAAAAACATTTAGTGTCCAAGCACAATTTGTCCAGATAGGAAAAACTGACTATGGTGGAAAGCAACAGAGATAGGATTCATCCTAAAGGAAAAAAGGTATATTTTACCCATTTAATATGAGTAGACTGTCAGATTTTTTCATGTTTGTTATAAGGTCCCAGCCATCTTTGTAAAGTAGCCTTACAACAGATTTCAAGCACAAACATTTAAATAAAGTTTGACATGTGTATAGTGCATCACAAATGTATTCAAACCCTTCCAATGCTGTTATAATCTGTGAAATTACAATGCATACACATTTTTTTAAACTTAAAATTCAAAACCTGAATGCTCAGACTGAAGACTTCTAAAGATAAGATAAGTTATTGTTAAAAGTCACGAAAAACTAAATGACATGTTGGTTGTGTAAGTATTCAAACCGGTGAAATCAATTTCAAGTAGTTTTGGCAGCAATTGTAGCTGCAAGTACTTTGCGCACCTTCTTGGTAGAATCTTTGCCCATCCTTTTGGCACATTTACTTAAGTTTGAGACTTTGACTGGGCCACTCAGGAACATTCATTTTCTTCTTTTCCAGTGTAGCTTTGGCCTTGTGCTTTGGCTCATTCTCCTACAGGAAAGGTGAATTTTCTTTCCAGTTGTAGGTCTTTAGCTTACTAAAGTTTTCCTCTACGATTTGGCTGTGTTTTGCTCTATTTTTGCTTTGGTTCTAACAAGCTTTCCAGTCCCTGCTGAGGAGAAGTTTTCCCACAGCACGATGCTGCCACCACCATACATGACTGAAGGAATAATGTTGACTGGGAGATGTGCTGTGCTGAGTTTGCACCAAATGTAACACTTGGCTTTAAGACCGCAAAGTCCCAGTGTGGTCTCAGCTGAACACAACATCTTTTGCACATTTTATCAGGATCACTCTGGGGCTTTGTTGCAAACTTCATGTCGGGTTTTTAGATGGCTTGTTTTTAGTAATAGCTTCCATCTTCCCACCTGGCCATGTAAGCATATTTTGTGAAGTGTTCTGAATATTAACTGATGCACATTTTCTCCCATGTTGGCCATTTTCAGTGACTTCATAGCTACATCTATAACCAGTTTTCTCCTTGCCCAGCTCCTCACTGCGGAGGGACAGTCTGATCTAGGGTATACAATTCTAGATCTTATTGATTAAATTGATCGTATTAACAGAGATATTCAAAGACTTCAGTATTTTTGTACCCTTCTCCTGATCTGTGCTTTTCAGTGACTCTATCCCTGACTTACTTTAAAAGCTCCTTCATGGCTGAGTCTTTGCTTGAAATCCACTATCTGACGAGGAACCTCACACAAACAGGTTTTTTATTCTGTAATCATGAGAACCACTATTATTGCACACAGCCAGAGGCCCCTCTACTAATTGTGCAGGTCATTAAGGTAATTTTGTACATCTAGATTAAATTAGGTTTGCACATCAAAGGATTTGTATTCTAATGTAATCATGATTTTGCCATTTTCCTTTCACCTTAATTTACTTTTATTGTATTTTTTGCTTTGAATTTGCAGAGTATTTGTACACCTTACACATTTTAATTACAACTTCAAGGTGCTTTACTTTAAGCAGTTTAAAAGCAGCAAAAACTGTGAAAGGGTCTGAATACTTTTGTGGAGCACTTTATATATAATTGTATTTGCATTGACAAGATCTGAAAGTAGATAATAAGTGTATTACCACTGTAGGGACTCTGGAAATTCAGAAATATTTGAGTGAAATGCATAGTTAATATGGACAATATGGTTAATATGCATAGTGGCTGTTATTGCTGCTGCTTCACAGGTGATGCATCTTGTGCTTGATTCTGGCTTGAGGCATAACATAGTGGCTAAGAAATTCTATGGATATGAACGAAGATGGGTGTATGTGTGGACACTAAATTATCGTTTCATAGAACTCATACAAATTCAGTAAAATAAAGCAGTTTTATTAACATCTTGGCTAAATGAGTACTTTTTGCTGGTGTATGTACCACTGTATTCTGGGCACAATAGCTTATTCGAGAAACCTCACATCCAAGCTAATGAGATCATTAATTATTGTAGTTATATCCTAACCTTGCTGCAATGAATATTGCTGCAGTATTCCTTATAACAGTTTCTTTTGCAGAACGGAGGTTTTCAATGATAAAACCAATAAAGGAATTCTTGAGAACATGTGTGACTTAGGACTGCAATTCTAGATTTGGCAATAACAGTTGTTATTGTCATACAGACTTACAGACAGGGTAACTTTTAACCTTGGCAAAGGTTTGTTTATTTTCGCCCAGTACTGTTCATTTCGCTGAACATGGATTATTTAACAAGTTTATTAGTTTAGATTTTGTGCATGTGTGTGTTTGTTGGGGGGAGCAGTCACAAATATTCCTGTTTTGGGCCTCAAAACAGCTAACACCAACTCCGTTTGGAGGTAAACAGTGTTTGAAGATTGTGGAATATTAGTGTGTTTGATGTCCTACTTGGAATGCTATTATCAGTGATTGGCAGAGTCCGTGACTGGATAAATTGAATAAATGGTTAGTGTAATGAAATTAATGAAATTTCATTAATTACAGAATTAAAGAAATTACAGAAAGGTGTTATTTGCTTTTCTGAAATGTTTTTTTTATATTAATACATTTATATAGTGGGCTTATAATTGAATAAACTATGTTTCTGTCCAGCTCCATCAAATTAAACTGTGTACTGTCTGGTGGGGATCTTGTAAATTGATATTTTAGGGCACTCACTTAGCTGAAGCTTTTGATAAACCAATCTGCTCCTGAAAATTAGCATGCTTCCTGCAGAAATGTTTTTGCAAGTTGATGCCTGTTTGAGGGTTGGAAACATCAGGGGTCGTCTTCAGATCTTCAATGTGTTGTTTGTGTAAAAGCTTTCGTCTGCCCTTTGTGTTTGATAACGAGGGAGGCACTTCGCTTAGAACAGCAATCATGTCTCCATAGATTCGCTTTGTAGTGCGTCCTTCCTTTTTACATACTTGTCCCTTGAAATCAATTTAATTGGAGATTACAAGCCTCTGGATCAATTATGTGTTCAGGCTAAATCTTTACATGCCCTGAGTTGTCTAGCTAGTTGTAGCCAGCTCGGGAATAGGATTCATCACATCCAAGTATTAACCAGGTCCTGACTTGCTAACGGTTAGGGTTTGCAGTGGTGTGATTTGGGGCTATATATCAGAAAATCTCAAAAGAAGACTGCTAGGGAGAGTATCAATTTGTCGCACTAAGGTTTATATTAATAGTATGTTTTCCAGTTCCACTTTAAATCAGAACTAATTATGTTCTATGTTCATGCGCATGTAGTTGTGGCCGAGTGGTTAACGCGATGGACATGAAATCCATTGGGGTTTCCACGGTGGCCCTGTGGCTAAGGATCTGTGCCTGTGGCTGGAAGGTTGCTGGTTCAATTCCTGCGGCCGGCATAGGAATCCTACTCCGTTGGCCCCTGAGCAAGGCCCTTAACCCCAACTGCTCCAGGGGGGCCGTATAAATGGCTGACCCTCTGCTCTGACCCCAAGCTTCTCTCTCCCTGTCTGTGTGTGTCTCATGGAGAGCAAGCTGGGGTAAGCAAAAAGACAAATTCCTAATGCAAGAAATTGTATATGGCCACTAAAGTGATCTTATCTTATCGTTGCCTCTGTCATTAAGGTCTGCTATAAGGAAGGAGTGGGCTCTGGTACTGCAGTAAAGGACACTCCAGAAATAGAAAGAGTAAAGAAAAATCAAGAAAACATCAGCACGGTGAGTGAACAAGCAAGCCTCCATTTAGTTTACAAGAAGAGTCAAACCCACTTGTGGAAAATAATGATCATGTGCATTTTCGTGTTCCCTCAACTGTGTTTATGTGGATTTATCCATATTTGTATACGTGTATATCCTATTTCATATTAGTACAGATAATGTACCAAAACAAACACTGCGCATCTTTATTTCTTAAAAAGAAGCATTTGATCTGAAATTTTGTAGCACATCTAATATGCTTTGACCTTTTCACCTGTACTGAAGGACTATAATGTATTCAATAATCCAAATTATTCAAGAAAAGTCAGTAACAGAACAAAATTTAAATGCTAAATAAATGCTGACAAGTAGTGCCACAGTACCTTTAAATAAATAATTTACTGCATCATTAATATTTTAGGCTGCTTCTGTCCAGATCACGTGTTATTTAAGATTATACAATGGCTTTAGAAAGCAATGACAGTGCTTCAGCGATGATTCGGGTTCAAAATTGGCTCAGGTATTATGGAGAAGCCGACACAGGAGCAACATCCTTATAAAATTAAATGATATGATTACTGGAAAAGCAGATGTGAGCCTCTGATACTGTGAGATGTTAAAACTCTCACACCCTTCAAAAGAAAACTACACATACTGTAAACAGGAAGCTCAGATGTCAATGTGTAAATAAATGATTACTACCTCTGGTAAATCATATCCTGGAGAATTGAAAGGAAAATCTGACCACAAGTTACAAAAAAAGCATTAGAACAAAATAATGTCTACAAACCCCTAAGACTCACTGATCACAGTGTAAAAGATACTAGAGAGTGGTTCTCAAACTGTGGTACACCCCCAGGTGGTATGCCAGATGACACTGGAAATTTATTGTGTTCACTGAACAATTGGAAAATAAAAATGGAATAATTACAAATTATGTCAATTTTTCATTTGTAATTTACTTAATCAGTTTTAGAAAGCTTGAGACTGGTTTTTATTTTAATAAAATAAGTTTGTGTCAAATATGCAACCTACGTAGTTTAGCTGGTGATACAGCAAGCGCTAATACTTGAGTGTTCATACTTCTCTCGAGCTTTCAGAGACACATTCCCCAACAGAACAAATGATGGAAGATGAATACCTCGCAAAAATAAAGTATAATGTCATGGCTGAAAGGAATAGGCACCAAGAGTATTGACGCAAGCTCCGATAGATCATGTACACCTGTTGAATGAGGAGGAATATACTGTACTTAATATCTTATCATTGCCTCTGTGATAAAGGTCTGCTATAAGGAAGGAGTGGGCTCTGGTACTGCGGTAAAGGACACTCCAGAAATAGAAAGAGTAAAGAAAAATCAAGAAAACATCAGCACGGTGAGTGAACAATTAAGCCTCCATTTAGTTTACAAGGAGAGTCTAACCCACTTGTAGAAAATACTGATCATCTGCATTTTTAAAATAGAAAATATGAAAACCAGTCTCAAGCTTTCTGAAACTGATTAAGAAGCTTATACTTGTCTCGAGCTTTCAGAGACACAGCTTAGCGCCACATTTCCCAACAGAACAAATGATCGAAAATGAATACCTCGCAAAAATCAAGTATAATGTCATGGCTGAAAGGAATAGGCGCCAAGAGTATTGACGCCAGCTCCGATAGATCACGCACACCTGTTAAAAACGAGGACACTAGCTCTGCTGCTGAACCTGACACAGAGAGCACTGCTAGTGTTAGCAAGCGTCGGAAAATGGCTACAAGGTCGTACGATCCAAATTACCTCAGTGCTCACTACTATTTTTATTATATGTGTGAGTGTGTGCGCTCGCTCTCACGCGCACTCATGTTGGTCATTGAGATTTTCTGGGGTTCCTATGAGAAGATGACTTGTAGGTGGTACTTGGATGCTTTGGTTTGATCAGGGGTGGTACTTGGTACAAACAGTTTGAGAATCACTGTACTAGACAAACATACCACAAAATACTTCTGGCCATGAGGAAGTTGACATGCTGTCACAACATCCAGGTGCTGTAGCAAATCCTACTCAAAGCCTTCAAATGTGTCCTGAGAAGTGGGTATTTCCTTGACTTGTCTGGAAGGACCATGTTTTCTACTAACTACCAACAGAGGTGTCGTGTGTAGCTCCTGGCATCACACAACATAAAATAGTCATCGAGTTCTCGGCTGCAGCAGATCTGATACGGCACTGAATTGTGTTCATTTGCAGACTAGGATTACACCAAGTGTGAGAAACACCCCATAGAAACCCTGCATTGAACATCAATATTGTATTTACATAGAATACCATTATTTGCATGTTCTATGTAACGCAATTTGTGATTGGTGTCTTATTCAAATGTTGACCAAAGATACAGACTTTTTCTAGGAGCCATTTGGTGTAATTGAATCCAACCAGTAATTATTGTAAAGGAACAAGTAATACAGTAGGTTTATTCCATGCTAAAAGAGAAGAGAGAAAACACAACATTTTGGCTGTAAAACCTTCTCCACCTGAAGCCTGTGAAGCCTCCTTCACCTGAATAAGGCTTCACAGCCGAAACATTGTGTTTTCTCTCTTCTCTTTTCAGCACGGAATAAACCTATTACTTGTTCCTTTGCACACTAAGCATGCTGACGCAGCTATCCACCTGAACTCCAGTAATTATTGTACACTTATTCTTATTTTGTTGAAAGTTTGATTGTATCATTTTTATTGTTTTATTGTATCTTAGAAAACATGTTACACCAACGCATAAATACTTGAACTGGAGGTCTATGTAAAGCGGGTTTCTTCTACAGGTCAAATACAAAGCCGGCGTTGGGCAGGCAACAGCAATCCCAGACCCTCCAGAGCTAAAGCGAGTGAAGGAAAACCAAAGGATCCTCAGTAACGTATGTGTAACCTGCTGGTCGTTGCTCCACACTTGCTCTCCTCCCCCACTGTTCGCACTTAGAAATTTTACTGAGAGGCTTTATAAAAAACGTGGGAATTGCTGTTGGTTCCAACTTTCATTTGTTGCATTTTGAATGCCTCTTAGTATTTTAAACATGTTTTAACTTCATCCTCCTTGTTTCACAGTTATGAGCGTGTCCTGCAGCTGAGCGTTGCAGGAGTAACGAGTTTTTAAACACGACTGGATGTGATTTTTCTAGAAAGCACAGTTACAGCCTAATGAAGTGGGCGGTGTGTTTTGATTAATAAATGAAGTAGGCAGCTATAAAAAAAAACAAAACAGGGTACTAGAAAACAAGTAAAAGGCATAGTTCTGGAACTGTAGCCATGGCTTCTATGTGCGGTTTGTGAGCATTGCTTCAGTGCGGTTTGAATGCTGGCCTTTCACCAGGTCAACTATAAAGCACCGATGGGAAGAGCAACAGCAGTGGAAATGACTCCGGAGATGGAGAGAGTCAAGAAGAACCAGGAAAACATCAGCTCGGCAAGTCTCCTGCCCTCTGATAACTTTACCGCCAGTACAAGTATTTTTATGTCTGTACATTTTTCAACCTCTGAAATTGTGTAGGTAGGTCTTTCTAAAATTCAGGGAATTTGCAACATAAATGGCAAGCACAGGACGAAGGCAGAACAGTCTCTTTCCAATATTTCTTATGTTTCAGTTACTCAGAAGGAATACTGTTACCTGATGAATTATACTGACTTTCTCCAAATGTCTCTTTTTTATCTATTAAAAGTCTTTACATGTTTTCAAGAAAAAAAGAAATACAGAATTGAACTAGGATATTTATTGATAAACTGCTGTGTTTGCAGCCACTTTCACAAAGATGTGTGAGAGGATGTCATCCCTGAGACATTGCGGTGCTCTGACTGTGTTGTGTTTCAGGTCAAATACCACAGTGACCTGAAGGAACTGAAAGGCACAGCCTGTGCAGTGACAGACACCCCTGAACTGAGGCGTGTCCGCAAGACACAGAGTGACATTTCAATGGTAGTATGAGGGAAGCCCTGCTGCAAGAGCACAGAAACATAACAGCACTTACAGCCTCACTTTTCTGACTGTGGCCACATCTTAGTCTTGATTGAGAACCCAAGTAAACAAGTCACAGCATAATGCAATGGGTCCAGTGTGTTCAGAAGAAGAAAAAGTGATTCTTCAATTGTAGTTTACTGTGAATAATCTGTCAATAAAGTATTTATCAACTTTGTTTCTTGTGTGGAGTTTGTTGCTAATTTTACTTACAAAATGCACCGTGGCAAGACTGGGAGTTGCTTCATTTGATGTGTCAGTGTGTTTGTTGCATGTGCTTGTTCAACATGTTCTGCATTACTGCTTCTTCTTTACTGAACACAGTGTAGCCTGTCTCTTGTTCTTATGACACTGAATTATTGAAAAAAATAATGGAAATGGTAATTTTGTTATATTGTCGTTTTTTGACGATGAGCTTATTAGTCTTCTAGTACTCTGCTAGAAACTTTTGCTAAAAGATTTGTTAGAGACCAGGCTTATGTTAAGTCTAGCATTGACCTAAGCTAGTATGACCTTAAAACATTAGCTAGTCTCTTATTTGTAGGTTTTCGAAACCCTAAAAACATCAAAGCATTTTGCAAACCTCTTTTGTTCACATTTTCCTTAGGCAAAATACCATGAGGATTTTGAGAAGACTAGGGGTAAGGGGTTTACACCAGTTATGGACGACCCTACTATGGAACGAGCCCGTCGAAACCACCAGATGGTCAGTGATGCAGCTTATAAGGGAGTCCAGCCACACGTAGTGGAAATGGACCGGAAACCTGGAATTATTGTTGGTGAGTTTTTGAACAAAAAATTGAGACGATGGTTTCCTTAGTCCTTTCTAAGAATTTTCTGGTTGTAATGATTTTTTATTAAAATCGGAATCAAATTTAAATATTACCAATAGAAACAACACACAAGATAAATTTGCTAAATTGTTTTATTCAGTATTATTTGATACCAGATCACACAATGTATACAATGGTATACAGTTACTGGATGCAAACATCTAAATAATTTATTTCAGAGCCTATGTATTTAAGGTATGCTAAAGCATATAGCAGTATACAACACCATATTTTCATTCCTGTGTAGTATGAAGATTTGTACTTCCTTTTCAAGCTATTTTCCAACTGTCCTGAGAGGCACAATCTTTAAGAGCCTCTACTTGCAGGCTTGGCCCTGCAATCTGAATTGGGCTATTTCTAGCAAACCATATCTGAGATTCCCCAAATGGGGGCACACAATTGACAAGCTCCTCCAGGGTTTGGTGAGAATAAACTAGCTGAGTTCTTGTCAGTCGACAGAGATCCCTGTGGCTTGTAGATTTCTTAGAGCTGTGTTATACCTCTTTTGCCACTTATTTTGCCTGTTTGCACAATGGACTTGCAGTATAATAGAGAATCTGAAAATGGTGACACTGCACATTGCAGAGAGCTTGTGCTCATAGTCTACATCTTTCTGCTGCTTCACTCATAAGCTACTCAATGTATGAAAATACACTTCAGTTACATCTGCCATTGTGTAGGTGTCAATAAGGACTAAAACTAAGCATTTAAAAGAGTCTTAAGCAATTAATACATTTAAGTGTGATTTTCTTCTGTATTTTAAGAAACCTGTAAAGGTGCTTGTACTTAGTGCAGATTGATTTCTGGGGTTGAGACATTATGGTTTCAAGCATGGAGCACATTACTGTGACTGGTGTTCAAAAGTGTATATGTTGATGAATATAAAAAAATGTATAGTGTATGGTTTTACAATACAAAAACACTGCAAGCTTTAAAGGAAATGGTGGCCAAATATTTAAAATTATTATTTTAGAAATATTCAGTTTCTCTCACAGTACAGTATGTGGCTCTTTTTGGTTTTTCTTACTGTTTATAAATAATGGGGGTTCTGGCATACTACAGTTATGAATAATATTTCTGACATTTTTCCAGAATGTTCCATTACAGTGCCACAGTTACACATGCACCACAAAATGAAACTGCCGCAGTAGTATTTTGAAATATGAGGTCTCTTGAAAGGAAATAGGAAGAAATGTAAGACAGCAGTACTATAGGTGACCAACAGGGTGTGTGTAGTTGTGTGCATGAGCTGGCATTCATACGTACTGTACAGTCCTTCACTTCTCATCACGCTTTTTCTTTTTCTGTGAAAGACCTGAAAGTCTGGCGCACTGACCCGGGCTCCATCTTTGACTTTGACCCTGTGGAAGACAATATCCAGTCAAAAAGTCTGCATAAACTCTCTGGTATTACTCAACACTGCTTCCTCCTTTTGATTTTCCAGTTGGCACTTGTTTTCTTCTTCTTTTCCTCCTCTTGTGCCCATGATAAAAAAAAGAGTTTCTGCTGTTACTTTTCATGTAAAAACTTGAAAAGATTAGAAATGATTTGCAGTACTCCAGTTCTGAAAAGGCAATTTTTTTTAGCAGGCGATACTAATGTTGTGTTGTCAAGTTAAAATAAAAACTACTACATTTTGAACAAACACTGCTTCCAGGAAACAGTCTTAGTTCTTATTTTCACCCCTCAGAATAAAGAAGTGTACACTTAATTTTGTTTTACCTGGAGAAAACATAGCCCAGAAAATGCCTTCAACCTGATATCTGTTTTTAGATTTCTGTTGCAGGATTACTACCCTCACATTTTTTTTATAATACCTACATTCCCTGCAGTTCCTCTGTTCTTATTTTTTGCTTTCCTTCCTTGCCTTTTCTCTTTTATGGCTATAGAGAAAGCAAACCGCATTAATAGGCAGCGCTCTCAGTCTGTCAGCACAGTGGAGGACGACAGATCTGAACTGTCAGAAAAGCTCCTGAGTTTTTCGGGTTACAGCACTAGCACAGCCAGGGCGTCTGAGGACAGAGGTACAGACAGCACTGTGATCTGTGCACCGTGGTGTTCCTAACCTCACTGTAGCTCAGAGGATCCAGCATGGCTTCACCAGAGTTCTGATGTGTTTCATTGCATGGCTGTAGTTTTAGAATGAACCATGTACAGAGTGTTAATTCCTGAAACCTGCCTGTTTGACTTCTGTAATGTTACTGGTCTGTCAAAAAAAATGCATCACTGGTTCACCTGGCTTCCACACGCCAGTCTGCCTCAATCGATGATTTGATTAGAAAACATGATGCCAGTTTAATAAGCAGCCAGTATTTTGAGATGCGGAGAATCTGGGAAATTCTGAATTATATTGACCTCTCAGTTCTCAGTTGAGGAATGAAATCTGTACATAAGGGAGGCTGGCACTCAATTTCCATTGATGAAATGTGACTGTTTGTTTCTAAATCTACTGTTTGAAGCATCCTGGAATTGTGGTTTCAATGACATGTTGGTAGCCCTACTGTAGCGACAGGTTAAACAACTCTTCACAGTCGGAAGTTAAAACTGACTATAACCTTTTTTTCTCTGGAGATAAATCTGCTTTCTTTAGCAGCTGTGTAGAACAGGACATTTAAGAAGCATGGGTTCCACACTGCCTCTAACCCTTTTGACTCTGGTAAACACTTTACACATTTCAGGGTCTTAAACCTTTTGTTCTAATCACAGCCACGAGAATTTGTAATAACACTATTTCACCACTATGCAGATACTTTTCTATGCAGATACTGTATATTGTGTTGAGTTTTGGGATTTCAATTTGTGTTGTATCTGGGGGGATGGCAATGGAGGAGGGGTTTGCGAATCACAGTAATTAATTTTTAGATATTTTTATCAAATGTTTCCCCACAGGTGGCATGTTCTTTTACTATGATATCTTCTTTTTATTATTTTGGTATCTTTCTACTTCTACGTAAATTTGGACATTTTAGTCCTGGCGTCTGTCATAGAGAGGAAGACTGCAGTGTTAACAAACAACCCTATAACAGCTGTGTTTCACACAACTCATGCTGTAGATGAACTCATTGCATGGGTTAAGTTTGTACAGGTGTTGTCTGAATTCACACAAATTGCAGATTGTGTTTGTCAGTTTTGTTTTCAAAAGTGGATTTAAAGGAAAGAAGAGAAAAAGCAAAAAGTGGATTACAAAAAATTCAACCAGTGCCTGAGGGGCAAGCCAAACTATATCAAAACTGCAGCAGTAATATTGGGTTTGTTAAATCTGTGTCATCTATACTTTCTTATCAAATTGAATTTCTTACATATCCATTGGTGAAAGAATGCTCAGACGTGAGCAACTTTGCTGTCCACACCAGCTTTTTCAATCCTGTCTTAACTCTTACTTAAAAGAAGAACAGTTTTTGCTGCAGTTTTAACTCTCATATCAATCAGCCAATGAATCAATTCATAATGAGTAGTGCTTTAAAATGATAAACTAGGACAAAATCACAAATACTAATTTGATCTCAGTTACATAGTTTAAATATCCTTTTGTGCTGTTTATAAAAACATACTTAAAACATAAATCATGTTTAAAATGGTAGACTGCAACCAGTGAAGTAAGTAAAATAGATGTATTAAGGACATTTGCGAAATATAGTCACCTATAGTACTGAAAATGGTTTCAGCGAAGTTTTAAAAAGAATTTAACATAAGAAATGTTACAAACCAGAGCTGGTCCTTCAACCCCAACTAAATCATTTGGTTATTGGTAGCTATTTCTTTAAAAATGTCAGGGCAGCAGCTTTGACAAAATAACACTAATCATCATTTCCCCTGAAATGTATAGCAACGATGATGTATTAGTTTCACTGAACATGATTAGCTCTGCTGAGTGGTATTTCAAGTTTAATCCTCTCATTGCAGCTGGCTAGGCACCTGTGGCCCTGTTGTGTAAGCAGTGATGAGTATTGCATTAATCCACTTTAATTATTATTTTTTTGCCTGCAGTGTGTGCTGTAGACTTGCAGTGTGGGAAGATGGCAGGTCTCAGAAGACACATTAATGTAGTCTACCTTTATTCCATGTTGATATGAGGGGTTGTAGTGAATGCTTTTAACCTATGGCGGTGTTGAAACCTGGAGAAAAAAATGGCAATTCGAAATTCAGTTGTCCTCTCAGACATTTATTGAGTTTTGTAAAGTGAATGCAGATCACTGGGTCAAGTTGGGTGTGTTCAACACAGGTAACTTAATCCATGCTGTGACAGAGTTTCAGTTTTGTATTTTAAGACCAAACATTAGACCCTTCCAGGAGAGGGAAAAGGAAATAACCCTTATGAAGCACTTTACCTGTCAGACTCCATACCTTATAAATAAGGACAGAAGTTCATAGTACAAAGGTAACTGGAAAGTTAGTTCGCCTACACATTGAGCTGTTTGTTACAAAGGAGAATACATTTGCTGTGAACAATGACAACCTTCACACAGCTATACATGTAAGTGTTTATCTGCACAGGCAAGCCATAATAATCACAAACAGTTGGCACATTGAACATGAAAGTGCTGTCTATTGCTCGTAGGTGCTGTTTTTTTATGAGGCTGTTGTTTGCAGAGTTCCAAATGTATACAGTAAGGACCCTGTGTGTGCTGAATATTTGTATTTGTTCCCTATTATGAAATACAGGCTGTCTCCTGGCTAAGTTGGTCTTTTCTCATCCCGAGTGATCTGAATTCAGTCCATGTGTTCCATCTTTTTGTTTTTGTATTCTGTGTGTGTACTTGTGCTTCGTAGCCCCGGTTCTGCCTGGAGCTTACCACCCTGGAGGGCACTCTCAAGGGTACAAATACATGCACCAGACCAGCGTGTCCTCCATGAAATCAATGCAGTTCCCTCCTCACTCTGCCCCCATGGTGAGTAATTACCGCGAAGAAAGGATTCCTTTGAGCACTGGAATTTAAATTGTGATGTGTTGTCTCCTGGGCTGAGCGAATGGTGAGGCTCTTCAAAATCAATTCCCAATTATTGTTTTTTTTTTCATTTAAAAGCTCTAAAAGAGACCATTAAATGAGCCATCGTTCACAAATTATGCCTGGGAAGGTGTCTAAAAAATTATTGTTGGAAAGAAAAAACAAGGAGAAATTTTCAAATCACTGCAGTTTTCCATCTACTGAACAATATAATGTGATTAACGTGCTGTACTGCATATCTAATATTTATACTCTAAAGGCTCACTTTGCTGGCTGAGGCTTGAATATAAGTTTATTATATGTTGATTTAAAAGTGTAGACATACAGGAAGCCCTCAATTCTCCCTCCCGGAAAAGGAATTTAACCCCCAAAAAACAACAAAACTAAATCAACAAAAACAGAGCAAAGATATTAAATTCAAGATTTCAGTCTTGTACTGGTTGTACCGGGATTCTCAAAGGGAGTATGCAGTTGGCAGACTGACATTAGGGTTAACTGTTGGCAAAACTGCAGCTTCACCCACAGATTTTACAGTAATATGGAGGGATGTGCCTCTCTTCCATTCAGCAACCCTCCAATAATCCTCCTGAAAGTCACTGTATACCTTGTTTAAAAGATAAACAATGAGTAGGCAGGTTAGAGGAGCTTGTCTGTGGTCTTCATTCTCTCCGAGCAACCTTGGCAACAATGCAGTGATTCCTAAACAGACGTTCTCAGTCTCCAAACTTACTACAGTAGTGTCTCGACATTAACGAGAGTTTGGTGCAGAGAACTGTCACCAATTGCCAAATTTGCATCTAGCCAAGTCCATCCCTATACAGTTGCATAATGTACCACAGTAGATAGTGTCTGTGGTTGAAAGACATAAGTAACCCTCTCTTATATGATAATTAAAGTACTAATGCATTGACTTTAATTAAATTTAAATAACAGTGATCAACTAAAAGCAACAACAGTAAACACAAACACCAATAGTAATCAGTTCAAATAAATTTGAATCCTTCCTCTGTGTCCAACTTTCACTTTCTCTCTCTGCCTCCATGATTATCATGCCGCACTGTAACGAGAAGGGCAGTGAAACTGTCAGTGAGCCCGTAAAAGTGGTCTCCAGCCTGTCACTGCCGACACAGAACCAGGAGCGCTTGTCACAATATAAACACGCTGAGATGCAGATTCTGGGTAGTGGGTATTAGTTTCATCTCAAGATCCTAGTCTGTTATTAATTTGAAAGTTGCACTTAACAGCCTAAAAAGTTTCATCCTACTCTGCTCTTTTATCATCCAAGACCCCATGTCAAATCACGAATAAGTGAATCTGTGGGTATTTAATGTCGACGTCAAGACCCTACTTCATTACCAGTGACTAGTATAGAAAGGAGAAGTGTAGACTCACATCTTGAGCGGAACGTTTTGTAACCGTTTTTTTTCCTCCCAAAGTTGTATGTTGCATCTTAAGGCCTGGAAGAATATGTGGCATATAGCATCTTAAAATCCTCACAAAAACGTAATGTTTTTGTTTTTCAGCAGCGAGTCTACAGAGCGATCTACGACTATGCGGCACAGGACCACGACGAAGTGTCCTTCAGGGATGGAGACGTCATCATCAACGTGCAGCCCATTGACGAAGGCTGGATGTATGGCACTGTCCAGAGGACTGGCAAATCAGGGATGCTTCCCGCCAACTACATTGAGACATTCAACTAAAGGCGTATGGCTCCTTCTGTACTTGTACCATTTTTAAAGCGAATTACTGCTAACCTCTCAAAAGAGGGATGACCGTAATGAATATTATGACTACTCAGTACTATACTGTACACATAGCTGGTCTTTGTTATCTCTTAACGCACTGCTTCATCTAATTCCTCATTATCGGACACAAAGGTTTTGTAAAGACCCTGAAACAAAAATGATTTAGTCTCAGTGCCTGTGTGAAATATCGTTGTCGCTACATATTAATTCAGCTTTGCACCAGTGGTATTGCAGTTTAACGTCACCAGAAATAGTAGACATCTTACTTTTACAGGACACTCTTGAGAACAAACGAATGGCTACAGTTGTCCTTACACATTGACAACTGGATAACTGCAAGTAGCTGCCGGAGGAAGGGGGTGAGCAATTTATACTTGGCTACAGACTCACAGAATATGCCACACAATGCCCAAGAAATATCTTGTTCAAAATTGCCATTTGATTTTATTTAAATGTGTGGCACGCTAGACAGAAAATGCACAGAAAGGAAACGTGCAAAAAAAGTAAGTTCCAGGCAAATATAAGTTGGTTTTTATTTCATTCACACAAGCTCACAGTACAAAAAGGGTCACAGCATTATTCTCAGTTGCTGGTTTGGAGGGGACACTGCTAGCAAGTCGCAGATATACATTCAAATCAATGTAAATTGCTTCACATCAATGTTTAGAGACAACATTAATTACGGAAGTCTCATTACTCATTACTCATTATTGATTTAAGGGTTCAATTGAATGAAATGGCCTACACTATGGAAAGATTTACAGTGGTTTTGACATATTACTTCACAATGTAGAAGGGTAGACTGTAGAGGGGTTATTTCTGCTCTGGCCTGCGCTACTTCAGTGCGAGCTGTTGTGGAAGTACCACTTGTCATTCACTGTTATCATAGGCCTTAGCAGAAATGACTGTGAGCCAGTAGTGCTCCAATTTTAATTGAGCTCTTGACCTTCAGCCTTACATGTTGTTGCATATTATCCTCTGTATATAAAGAAAGAAACTTAAAATCTCAAACATTTTAGAGTTCCAAGATAATTTAAAGTATAAAGGTGTAACTAGACTAATTAATGGTTAAATTAACTAAGAGAGCTCAGTTTGGAAACCCAGTCTCATCAGACAATTCCCACAACAAAGTACAGCTCATGGGAAAAAAAAGGTTTGTCTTAGGACATTAGCTGAGAGTTTGGTTATGTGACTACACACAGTGCCAAGAAACAGCAGAGCAGTTACATGCATCAGTCCTTGAAACATTCAAATTTATAGCATATTACAGTACGTCATTTACAAACCTTTTGTGTCTCCAAAATATTCACTTTTCTTCACTTCAAATTAACTATCTTTAAATACCACAAGAGGGTTCTTTCAACGTAGGAACATAATCACTGGTATTGTTTTGCTTGAAAAAATATAGAATTTGCAATTGTTGAGTTTTGATAATGGATTGTTATTAATTGCAGTGTCTTATGCATAGAAAATTGGCAATAGAAAATAGCTTTTCCAACCCAAGATTGTGTTTGGGTAAATCCATATTCTTGTTAATATATTGTAGTAACAGCCCATACAGATTTTTTTTTTTACTAATAGAACATTTCCAGCAGATTCTATCTCATTTTGATACTGTGTTTTTAAAGGGGTTTCCATCGTGTTCTGAAATGTGAATTTTAACTTTCTGAGATATTAGCTGAGGGGCACAATGTGCCCTCCTTATTAAAGAGTGAATTTCTACTGCAAAGATAACATCAGAAGGACACAGTGATGTATGACACTTTGTGAGACAAGGAGGTGCTACAGTGCTTACAGCTGATCCACATTTCTGTGTATTATGATAGTGCCATCTGTGTTCTGTGTGATTTTAACAAGTCCTTTAACACATTCATATTTGAAATTTCAACTGTAATGCAACAAGTGAAACACGCTTAGGGGTCTTCACACTCTGCTGTTACATATGGTTCACTAGTTTTGAACAGCAATGCAGAATCAAAGTGCAGTCCAAAAATAAACCATTTCAGCGTGAGAGATTATTCTCATAGTATCTGTGTTAGTTGCTATAATGAAATATAGTCATGTCCTAAAGTCATCAAGATCAATCATCGCCTTACATTGCAGCGGTATTGGTGCTGCATTAGCATTGCATCTGAATGGATATTTAAAGGTTGTTTTCTTTTACTCTCAGATTGCTGTACTGTGCTGCAAACACAAATGTAGCCTCCCATTCAAACATACCAGAAATAAGGATGACCTTTGGTACAATTACAGAAACGACACAAATGATCACTACTTTGATAGAATTACATTTTGCCGATTGCTAATGAATAGAAAATCATCGCTGGTGGCGGTAGAGTGTGGAGAAACAACTTGTAATGCTTTTATGACTTTCACGAATGTTAAAGAAACCCTGGGGCAATGTTCTGTGCAACACAAGACATTGAATTTTTGTTGTTGTTGTTGTCTTTTCCACACAGTCATGAGAATGATTTTTTAGGAAAGCCAGGAGATAATATGCTGTGAGAGGTGTGAAGAACTGGATCGCTTCTTTTAAATGTAATACTGGTGGAGGTACTATATTTTTATATGTAAGAATGTAAATGACTGTTTTGCTATACCTGGCACAGCTATTGATGAATAATTATGACGTGCAGGGTTTGCTGTTGTGAGAGAAGTTTAATTTAGTCCTTACTGATTTTTCCTCATGTGTTAGGGTTTTCGTATGCACTTATAACAGAAGTCAGCCTTATTGAGTAGGTTAAGATGCTCTGATCCTTTAATCATAGCACAGATTATACGGGCACTCACACAGCTGTCAAATGTCTAATTTCAAGGTATTTGTTTTTGCCTTGTTTGATCATTTTATCAGTTTAACAGTGGCAGGGGTCACCCTTGAGAATCCTACTTCTAAATACCGGCCCCACATGGTGTCTGGGAAAAAATCCATTTGCAAGCAAACATTTTTAAACTAAACCTCAAAATGCTGATGGAGCATTAACTAATTACTGATTTAACTGGACGTATTTAGCAGCTTGTCTCAGCTCCTTTAAAATGTCCTGCAAAGCCTGCAGACACTGTGGACTCACCCAGGACTAGGACTGGATATTCCTGACCTAGAAAGAAGTTTATGTATGCACAGAAATGCTGAAAGGTAAAACCATTCACTCACATATTCGTGGAACAACAGAAATCTCTTTGTACTGAGATGCACCCAGTTAAAAATAAATGGGCGGCAAGCAATGAAAAAGTAAAATGCATTTTTATACATGGATATCAGCCCTAAAACGTGTCTGGTAGAATGTAGTTGAAGTGCTCTGTTGACAGACTAAAAGCATTTTTGAAATACATTTTGACTCACTGAGCAGTCTAAAACTACACACCCAGTATCTGTTCAAAGGAGATCCACATCAAAACCTGGGTGTTTAAACAAAACAAAATTGTTTTAAAAACATCCACCAGTAACGTCAACTGGAAAGAAAATAAAAACACTGGTAGCCTTAACTGCTCTCCAATAGAAGGAGCTGGTGACCTTGTTGTTAACTGCAAATGTTTCATATGTATTCAGCATAAGCTTCATACTCCCGACCTGCTGCTTGTTGCCTTTGGCATACAGCTGTGACTGACAAGTACTGTAGGTCACTTGTGCCTTGACATTATGGCTAGCATGCATGCCCCCACTGCAATGTACTGTTTAAATTTTGATCCTTGGATAAGTTGTCATAGTTCATGTTTAATAAACGACTATCCACTGTGTGAGGAAATTTCTGAATTTCTCATTTCTTGGTCGGATCTTTCTGAACATGCATTTAGAATGAAGGAAACGTTTTTCTGAAATGCCAGCTGTGTATTTTGAATGTTTAGTTATGGCCAGGCAATCTTGCGACAGGCAATTTGGAAGTCAAGATTTGTGGGATGGCAAAATCAACAAGGCATACTTATTGCTCTTCCATGAGGAATGGAACAAAGTAAATTTAACTGCCATGCCTAGTTCTTGGTTTGTAAAATACATAGATTGAACATTTACCTTTACCCTGGAAGGAAGTGTATGGGCTCAACAACTGGTAGAAATTATTGCACCCAATGTTATGGCGCAGAAGACATTTTACACATTTTAAATAAAGGTGGAAAAACAAAAACCTGATTCCTGTTTTATTTAATATATACTATCATAAAACTGGACTGACCTGATTGTTGCCTGTTTGACAATGCTGTTTAATGAGGCAGCAGAAATCCTTTCTAATCTTAGAAGGAATCTTAAGTAGAATAATGGAATTTCTGCATAATTGTATGCCATTTAATGAATCCTTATTTCCCTTGACACATTCATAACTTCTCAAACTGAAGAAAACTATTATAGATAAGGCTGAAGTTTTTTCAAATAACAGTGGCACTTGCTACCACTTTACAGAGCTAGTCTGGTTTAAGATGTATGCAGACAGACTTTAAAAAATATAATGGATTGTGGTTGTCTTCCCTGTTTAACAGCATCTAAAACACTACATTGTTTAAAACAGAGACCATGTAGATGCATGATCATTTATAGATCATGTATAACCATCCATGCATAAAATGTATGTCCAAATAATTTTGAATACTGTATTTAGATATCAAATATTACAAAGTTTGGAAAAACTTATGAATAAGTAAATGATTAAAACGTCTTCAAATACGTGCAAAAGCAAATCTTTTTTTTTTACATTTCGCTTTAGAACATTAAATTGTACAAAATTTAAATGACTATTTTCTCATGCTAATAGCCCCAAATGTAGTCTGTAACAAAATCAATTATGTGAACATTTGCACTTGGGTTTAGACCTATTGCTGTTTAGATCTCTTGGCTCTCAATCACATACTGCAGCGTGTTCTTGACTCTCAGACTGGCTGGTTGCTGTTCACTGTGGTGCAGTGTTCATTAAAGTGTGGTGTCCACACTATTGCATTTTATAACTCACTATTTCAGCACCGGATAGAAGGGAGGGTACACCCTGGACAGGATGCCAGTCTGTGACACAGACACACCAGGGCCAATGTTCCCAGAAGTCACTTACCTATCAGTATGTCTTTCAGATGTGAGAGGAAACCAGAGCTCCTGGCGGAAAACTACATGAATTGGGGAAAACCTACAACTCCACACAGACATCACTTATCACTTACCTATTGTATTGTAAAATCCCCTGGATTGGTCCTCTACTAACCCAGGTATAGTGAAACACAAGATGGACATTGATTCAGAAAATGACAGTACATCAATTTTTTATTATTTTCTTAACTGGAGGGTCCTCATGATAACTTAGCACATTAACTGAGATTCGTACCATTTCAGAATGAGATTTATTAACAATTCAAAATGAGGTGTATTAATAATTCAGAATAAGATTACTTTATTCAGAAAAATCATGATGAGTTAGGAGAGAGTAGTTAATGAAGGAGTTCATATAATTTTTCTCTATTCGATAATGTTAGATTAAAACTGTATTATTATACTTTGAAAGTGGTATTTAGGTTTCAAAAAGGTATTCCAAAATTAATTATGACAAATTCTGAAGGTAATGAAACATTAAATCATTTTAAAAATCTATCATTGAGATTATTTATTAAATACATATTTTAATGTTTCTGGACTCTTATATTGAATAGTAGAACATAACAGCCTTACAACTTCATCAGTTCCTACTGCTAGGTCCACTTCAGGCTTACCTGGGAATTCATTTAAATATGCTTTTTTATTTTAAGCAATAACAAAATGTATCAGAAAAAAATGCTGTCCATGATTTCTCTAAACCACACAATAATGTTTTACAACCAGGACATTTCTGAGCCAAGAAATGCCAGTTTGGAGCAATTAAGGTCCAAATTTAGAAGCAAAAAATCTCACATCCCAAAATAACCAGGTATTTTCCATGTTCCATGTTTAAAAATGAAGGGGTCAGAACATATTAGCAACTTTTGTGATATACAGCTGCTTTTTTCACATCATTATGATGCATGAAGCATGCAGCATGTGATAATTTAGGGCAACTCTTGAATAACTACAAAAGGAATTCACAACTAACTCATTTTAATAGTGATAACAGGGCCAGAAATCGGAGAAGCGGATTATATCAAGTTACTGCAAATTTCAAGAATATAAAGTTATTAAACCATTACGCTTTTTACCCCAAAGGGAGGCATAATATGCTTGGGAATTGATATGAAAAGTGGTTCATTGTTAAATATGAAAGGAACTGAATGAACTGGTATTTAATTTGAAGTATATGTAGCAAACAGAGCGTTCCCATAATACCTTGTGTACAAACTCTAAACCATTAATTTTCTAAGTTGGGGGAAAAAAATCAAATAAAAAACTACAAAAGAGCATAGTGAAAAGATCCCAGTGTCTGTTTTTTTAAGGTGTTTGATAGCACATGAGAAAAAGGCCCTGTTTTGCTTACACTCTATCACTGAGATTATTTGGGAAGTACTGCTGACAAAGCATTCAGATGCAGCAGGATGTGTATTGATTAAATGCTCAATTTCTCCTTGAAGAACAATGGATCCTGCAAAGGATAAAAACATCCCCATAGGCCCAAGGCAGGCCCTAGTGAGCAGCCACACGATTCCCGAACAACACTTCAAACTGTCTTCTGAAAAGACTGTACACTCCTTCAAGATCTCATTATCTTTTAGGTTCTCATGTCTCAGGATTTGGGAAAGTACCGCATTGCACACGGTATCCTTCTGTGACAGAGAGAGTAAAAAAAACAAGCACATCAAAAGGCTGTATAAATACCTGTGGATTTAGATCCATAATAGCAACTTTCTAATGCTATAAATGGAGAAGGAGGAAAAACAAGCAGTTGTCTTGGAATGTAAGGTGTTACTATTCCCCCTCTGTGACCTGAATGCTAATCCAATGCACCAGCACCCAGCTGTATCGTGGTTGATTCTTCTATCTCCCCTTCTTCATCTTGGCCACCTTCTCTTTCCGTTTCTTGACATGCTTTGGGACCTTGTTCTTCCTCTTCTGTCTCTGAGCGTCCTTCGCCATTTTCTTCCTTTCCTAAAAATGGAAATGGGAAACTGAGCAATTGGAAAATACCTCTGCAGAGCTCTACAGTTCCGAGTAGACAGCGCAAGAGCAGAATGCAGTTTATTCCTCGGCGCTCCGCTCCAGACCTGTCTGTTTACACTGGCTCCCTATCGGGCTCAAGATGATTTTAAGACCAGTTCATCTGAGTCTTAATCCTAGAAAAACTCAGCTAGAATCTCTCCTGAGGCTGCTGTCTGCTTTTGCTTCAGTTCACATTCGGGGCCTCCTTAGCAGTTAAAAATTCAAATGCTTAAAAGGAAGAACAGGTGCTTTTTCGAATTGCAATATTACACTAGACTATGAGAAAACCAAGGTCATCTCAACTTTTAAATTCAGTTGACTACTTTAAAAAAGGCTGACAAAAAAATCAAAAAGATATTTTAAGACAATTCTTTCTGATTCTGGTGTAATCATTGTGATGATAAGGTGGCGATATCAGTGATGACCTGATTAATGGGATCCCCTAGTGTTTTCAGTCCTGGTCCTGGTGACCCAAACACCTGAATTAGATAACTGAAGCCTTCAGTGATATAAGAAATTGCTTCATTGGAATATTTGTATTTTGTTTCTGGTTACAAGTTTGGGATTTTATTTAACTTACAATACAAGGGTTGAAGTTAAAGGCTCCCAGAGCTGGCAACAAACAGTTCAAATTAATCTTCTGACGGTAAGGCAATGCAGGGTTTGATTGTCTAACTGGTGTGTGGGTCCCAGAACCACTGCCCTAGACACTGGGGTTTCACGAAGTTGTAAAAATGAATAGTGTGCCTAACAGAGAAATGTTTTGTTCATTCTTCATCAATGTCTTCAAGTAATCTCTAGCAAGTGTTGCTTTTTCTTTGCCACATTGTGACACTTAATTTAAATTCACTTACTATATATGAAACCATCTTTGTTTTACGCATTCAAACATCATCCACTTGCAGTAGCAATATTCCATTCCACAATTTCAGAATACAGCCATCAAAATGCTGATCACAGCATAGCTGTCAACTTAAATAAATAACAAAACAGCTGCAGCTGTAAAGTACCTTGAATACTAGTACCATGAATGAATCAATAATTACTCAAGGGATGTGCTGTCAACCTGGAACTCTGGGGAGTAGCTTCACCAATTCAACACAATGGATCTGCTCCAATTAGGCCTGTGATGGACCTGGAGAGCTAATGGTAGTATTATTTATAATACCCGTGATGTTTTTTGTGTTTAAATTGGGAATTTGTGTGATGAGAGGTTCCCTGAAACATGGTCTTCCAGCCCAAAAGGTTTCAATTCTAAACAGATGAAATATAGTTTTACACCAATCACATATATTTATTACTTAAAATAGATGAATATGAGTGAGTTTCTGCATTTTGGTCAAATATTGATAAGTGGACTATCCACCCAACCTCTTTAGATAGGAACACTAAATGTTTAACTCAGGCTTCAAAGCGAACTGGGCATTTCTTTTCTCTATAAAATCTTTATGGACCGTGTGAAAAGATTTTGATGTTCACAAAAAAAAAACTCACTTCTAAAAATATTAATTTGGCACTTTCATTAAAACTTCATAAGAATAGTCCTTCCACTTATGCTAGATGGTAAACCTAAAAGAGCCTGATTGGTGTGACCAGTTTAATCAAACTGTCACTACAAAGGGAGATTACAGAAATTCTAAAAAAAAAATCTGGGATTTTACCCCTCCAAAGATAACTCTACCATACAGAGCTATGATAACATTCAACTAAAGCTAAGCAAAGAAAAGCTATCATTTTTCTCGCATGTTTGAAACACACCTTCTTGTCTAAAGGAGGCTGCTGCTCGTGATCTTTAGGATGACTCTCTTCCTCGGATCCAGAATCTTCACTTCCATCATCCTCAGAGTCAGAGCTACTCTGCTGGGGTTCTGTGCTTTCCAAGAGAGCAGGGACCTGGAGGAACAGAGGAGACACATCTTAGGGCGATCACAACTTGGAAGTCACAAGGACAATAAGAACAAGTGAAAATGTCCTTTCCACATTTTTTCTCAGGTTTTCTGAAATTTTACAATGCATTAGCAAGACCTCATTCAGAATAGTGTGTATAATTGTGGTTACTACAAAACAAAAATATATTTAGTACAGTCCAGTCCATATATATTTACTATACATCAGAGAAGAGCCACGGGGCTCATTCTGGGGCTCAGAGGAATATCCTGTTCTGACAGGCTGAAGGAATAATTTTAGAATCAACACGAGAAGGCTACAAGAGGACCTGATCCAAAAATTCAAAGTCAACTCAATGGGATTTGTCAGAAGCAAAAGTAAAACATCAATCACAGTACACAAGTGAGTGGAAATGCATTTAAATCTCAACAAGCAGAACAGCAGGCACTTTTTATACAAAGGGATATGGGAGTCTGGAACTTACTGCACAGCCTTGTTGCCAAGGCCGATAAAATCGCTTCTTTCAAAAACGTATGGACGAGATCCTCACATCAGTTGGCTACTAGCCGACCAATGAACCAAAGGCCTCCTCTCATTCGTAATCTTTCATACGTTTAAAGAAAGATAAATCAGGCGCAAAGATTTGCGTTACCTTCTGTACTCCAGATAAATCCTTCTTCAATCCTGTCACTGTCTGATATAAGATCTGAAAGAAAACACATCAGCAGTGTCACTGAACCAATTACATCCAGAAAAAAAGTAGCCACAAGAACTAAAGGTTTAAAAAAGAATCAATAACACAGCACAGAGCACTATCATTCATCCTATTTAAAGTTGAAAACACCATTATTGTGTGAAATTTCACTTTGATCATGTTTATCTAAAGAATGTAAGATACTGTTTCATGTATTATATACAATATTGTATTGACTTGCATGACGTTCTATACTTGTGTGGCTTCATAGATGAATATGGTGACTGCTCAATTTTTTCCAATAGGTTCTTATACAAAAATATGACATTTTTTCGTATTATAAAAGAAAAACAATGTGAAGGATACTTTGGGGCAAGTAGAGTGGTACAGAAACATCTAAACTATAAAAAAGAGAGCTCTTCCAACCCTCTCCACCTGCCATGCGTCAAGCTAAAATGCTGCAATGTAAAGCAGAATTCTGGTTAACAAAACTAATGTTCAGCTTCTTCCATCGATTTCAGCACAGCAGCAACAGAGTCACCGCCCAGAGATGTCCTCCCACCAACACAGTTGCTATTTAGTCGGAAAGGAGACAGATCTCAGCCACCATACCTAGAGATATTAACAGTCGCACTTTTAGATCACTGTGACAACAAGTTATGCAGGGGTAACACTGGTGGTCTTACCAATAATTTGGAACACTACCGTGACTGAAATAAGGCAAGAGATTTGTGGCAATGCAATTGTGACGTGTCCAATTAAAACACACATAAACCTCACACAAATTCTTGAATGCCCTCTCCAAAGACTCACATTGTCATTCTGGACATTGAGAGAGATGTCCTCTTCCTTCATCTTCAGCATGTTATCCACATCTCTCTCATAGTTGCTGACGTCATTGAGTGTTCGAGGAATGTAGGCTTTTTTAAAAACCTGCAGTGTTACAATAAAGGAGAAAAAAAAGACACTGTGTTCGACAGAAATTGCATTTGCTGTATGCATATCTACAGCATTCATATCTATAGAAGTGTTATAGAAGAGCTACATTGTAACAAAACATCCTGATGTGAACTATAGATGGTCTATTAACAGAATATAAAAAAAAAGTACAGAATGGATGCACCACAATTTTGTAATTCAGATCTGGACTGCACCACAAGCCAACACGGAAAATAAAATAAATGTACAATATTGCTTGCTGTTATATATTTTTTTAGAGGCACAACTCCTGTTGTTCAGACTTAATCTTAATTATGTGAATTTTGAAGTGCATGAAGACAGATGCTTCTTTTTATAGCTTGTGTTTTTTTATGATATTTGTGGTGATATTCTGGTCTAGGGTTAGCAACTTTACTAATATAAAACAGATTTCCTGAAGGATCACATAGTTACTTTGCTCCCGAGGAAAAGTACCAGTTCTACGAGAATTCACATTATACATTTTTCAAGAACCACTGCCCATTACTTTGAGACTATTAAAAACTGCATAAATAGTGCTCTTGAATGGCCTTCATCTTGATCGGTGGTTGAGCCAAACAATCCACAGATCACACATTCAGATCTGGGATTTGTCATTATTTGTGGCAAGGAATTCCCCACTTCACAGCAAAAATCTTCCAACTTCAAAGCCATCTAAAAATTACCACACCATACAACGTTATTTCCTGTGGCTCACAAAACAAAGAGTCCACTCTATGCACAGAAGAAAATCCCAAAATGGAATGGTAACCTCTTCATCAACTCTGTCCTGGTTGGATCTTTCCTCCGATGTTCTTTCAGAAGCTATCTCCATCGCCTGAAACATCACAAGGCAGACAAATCAAATCACACACGGAGATGAAAAATATATTATACCCAACAACCAAAGCTTCTATTTCAGCCAACCTTTCTGTTGTCATTCAACAGATTTTTCACAAGCCTAAGTTTATAACCCCATTCTCAGTAGTACATACAGCAGAGATGCTGCATGTGCAACAAGTGGAATATGTAAAACCATCTGTTTCAGAACTGAAATTGTTCACCATCTGATCTGAACTGACTTTCCCCAGGGGTGTTACTCTGCTTAAGGAGAACGCATGAATCAGGATGCAGTGTGTATATACAGTAATTGTGGAACTGTGCAAGTTCTTTGTGTCAAGTGTATACATGTATTATTAAATTGTCTTTATGTTTTTTTTTGCATAAACATGAAGGTACCAGATTGAACTCCTTGTACACAAACGTCCTTGGCAAATAAGTGACTCTGATTCTGGGTTGGTAAGAATAAAGAATGAAAAACAAGCACTCTACTCTGAGTAACAGTTTAGCTGAAAAAAAGTCTAAAATATCAGTTTCTTTTAAAGTTACGGTGCTCTATGTCTGTGCAACAAATCTGAGATAATTATCCTGTAATCAAGAAACCTGTGGAATTAATTTATGAGTCTGGAGAAGCGAATTTACATGGTTACAAAGACCTATATCATAAATCTTTAAACATATACAGCAACAAGTCATTTTTCTAATATTAATTGTAAGCAATTAAAACACTTGTTTACTCGATCAAATTTTGAAATGATTTTTTTTAATTCACACTGTGCCCCCAGGTGTAAAACCAACAGACTCTTTCATTCCCACTGCAATTACACTCTTAAACAATGCAAAGTAACTGCCTTGTTTCTTTACTCCTGTAACACTACTGTATTCCCTTCCCTTTTGGTGTTTATTTGTTATTGTGTTGTGTTTGACTGTGCCATAAAACACATTTCCCCTAGGGGACAATAAAGCTTGAATTAAATTAAATTAAAAATGTAGAAATATAAAATGCCTGGATCTGTGCTTGAGTTGCTTGTGGCAGTGCCTGAGTTTTCCCACAGGTGGCAGCACTCCTGGGAAGTGGCACAAAGCATTTGAACACCCCCACCTCTGCCTTACATTTCTACTGTTCTCTTCGCCTCTGGGTGCAAGTACAAATGTGTGATTCTCTTGAATAACCTCTCAGTTGCACGGAAAAAGCAGATCACACACTTTATGCACAGCAAGAGAAAGAAAGGGCTGTACCAGGACATTGTGGGAAGGGGGTTAAAATACTGTTTGCAGTTTCCTTACAGTCATTTCATTCAAGATTCTGCCACAAGAAACTAGTATACACACTTTCCAGGTATCAGACATTGTTTATTATATAAACTATACTGTATTCAACAGCCACTTCATTTGTCACTTCTGTTCTTTAACGGCAATTAAGATTATTCTTAGTATCATCAAAATTAGGGCAAATTTATACCAATGCCGTGCTACAAACACTGGTCAGCATTTAATTATATTGGTTTGTTCTGTTAGAGGTTTTACACGTGGCTGTCTGCCTATTGTATAAATTTTACTGAGGAAGATCAAGAGCAAAACTGACCCTCAGTTATATGACATACAGACATACTAAAAAGTTTGTTCCAATATTTTGAGTTACATAAATGCTACATATTTGTAAAACACCGACTTTACAAAACTGTTGACTAACTGAAATACGGTTTCTGTTTTGTAAAACGTGTTTTAGAAATACTAATGAACAAAAGAATGTGTTAAAATGTTGGCCATATTTAAAAATTTGAAAGAAAAACTGTGCTCTCACTTTTTCCAAATAATCATCAATGTTGGCGCTGGTGATGGAAGGGTCCGTGACAAACTCAAAGAGCTCTCGTACAGTCATCACGGCAACACCCCGTTTCAAGAAAAACTCTGATGGAGAAGAAGAAATAAATGGCAACAATGTTAGTCACAAGAAAATAAAAATATAGGAATGCCAGACAGCACACTACATCAAAGCAAATATTTCATGGTTTGTTACTTATTTACAACCTGACCATTAGCTACCAAACAAACACAAACATTTAGCTATTTGAAAAACATCACATTAAAAAAAAACTATTAAACCTGCTGAACTGAAGAGAAACATACTTTTTTTAAAGCAGTTTGTTAAACACCCAATTCTGGGCCTATGTGGTCATTATGACAAAAAGGGGAACGCCAACTCAAGAAAGAACTGCTGATTTTATGAAATGTGTGCATGCTATTTATACTAGAAAGGAAACCACAAGATGAATGGTAAGCTCGCAGGGGATATGCTACTATTCCCATACAATAAAGACTAGGAACTACAGTAACAGGCCACAGATGGCCATGTAACACGCCCAGTGCCCAGGCAGGCTGACACTCAGACCAGCTGTGGAAACACTCTGATAAATCTGATAATAAATCTTAGACTTCCACAAGCTGCTCTGAGCTGCTATACTTTCTGGATTTCAAAAAGCAAGGAGCTACGAAGGCAGCTTGAAGACTGTGTTCCTCTTTCACATTCAACAGACGCACAAGCTGAAGCTGAGTATGGTGGCTTGAGAGTCAAGGTAGGTTCTAGTTCAAGCACAGATGGAAGGCCCCCGTCCTGCACTTAAATCTCCTGTTTGTCCCTTGGAACTGCTCAAGAATTAGAAGCCAGCGATGAAGGTCTGCTTTCTAACAGGAGGTGTGTGTGGAGAGGACTATGTTTTCTCTCATGCTGCAGAAATGTATGGCAGTAGTGGGAAGGTAAAATTGATTAACAAGTGGCAACAGCGAAGTGGTGGAGTGTGGGAAAAAAAGTGCCTTCCCCACCATTAATATTGGTGCAGTCCTTCCGAAGGAACTCCAAGGCATGCGGGTGATCGTGTTCCACAGACTGAGACACGTCGATAATGTAAGCATCTCCGTTATGGTACCTAAAAATACAAGACACCAACGTTTCCTGTACGTTCTTCAGTCATGAGGAAAATTCATGGTTTGAAGTACATCATCACAAGAGAGAAAGTCCTCTCCCATCTAGTGTAGAAAGATGTAAAGCTTCAATGGACTAGAGTGTCCTTGTGACATCACGTACAGAGGTAAATAAAAATCTGTGTTCTTTTGTACAGGTCAAACTTTTCCTGTACGTTCTTCAGTCATGAGGAAAATTCATGGTTTGAAGTACATCATCACAAGAAAGTCCTTTTCCATCTAGTGATGAAAGATGTAAAGCTTCAATGGACTAGAGTGTCCTTGTGACATCACGTACAAAGGTAAATAAAAATCTTTGTTCTCATGTACAGATCAAACATCAATAGTGTTGTTCATCACTTAAAGGCATGTTTTTCCCTTTCAGACCTTTACCACAAACTACATTTTCTTACAGTATGCCTCTTGCTATGTACAAAATGCAACTGCCTCTCCTTCTCTTCACCTCTTCACTTTTATGCATCTCTCTGGGTAACTAATATTGTATAATACCAATTCCTTACTATCCATGTTTGCAGGATTTCTACATAGCCAAACATTTCAAAAAGAGTTTGTGCGTTTTGACTGTGCAGAATTTGTTTTAAAAAAGGATTAAATAAGATGAAACAGAAGGTTTTGATTCAAGTCGTTCATCCGTTAACCTTCTTGGATGATTCATTGTCAGCCTAATCTGGCCCTTTCTCAGAATTATACATAATATAACAGAAAGGTGTGTCTGAGACGTAGCTGGAGAAGATTTCCACTATCCCTCAGATCCATGCGACCATTTCAGCACAGAGAGACAGTTTTTCCTTTGGCTCAGAGTAAACAAACATGGATGCACGGCTGGAAATACAATTTCTAAGTAGATACAATCTTGTAAATTAGGCAAAAAAGCAGAGAGAGAAGAGAAAAACTACAGTAGTACTAGGAAATTCTGTAAGTGCTAGTACAGGAAGGTGAAACACAGATCCAGAAACTTGCCTTTAAATGGTGAACAGATGCCTGAAAAGGAAGAAGGATGAAACAAAGAGACTTACAGCATGTTGAATTCACTCAGGTCAGCGTGGACAAGTCTGGCCTCCTGGTACATCCTCCTCATGTGCTGGATGACTTGCAGGTACAGCTCCCTTGCTTTGGACTCCGACAGCTGTACGTTCTTCAACAAAGGTGCTGGCCTGTAATTTTACAAACATCACCACGGTTCCAGTCTGCAGATATCACCTGTTTCCCATTTACAGTCCAGCTTATTTGTGTAATGTCCAAATCTAATACCACCCACTATAAAATTCACATTGTTATGCTTTGTTTAAGAAAAAAAGATGCAGACCACAGGTACAAAGGTAACAGACTGTTACTATTTTATATTAACAGTTACAGTGGCCCTGGAGAATTAGCATACCTCATCCAAGTTACTCTGCATGTCCATGTCTCAGAACACAAGAAGACAACCTCACCTTATTTCTCGAATACAAAGCTTGACAGTTGTAACTTTCAAAAGTTATTTTTGCCATTTTATGTGCACTGGTCATGGAATAGATGACCATAGATTGGCTTGTATGGCTTGGTAACAACAGAAAAATGTTACTAGCCAGCTTCGGATTTATGGCAAAAGATACTTTCATAAGATAAAATCACTTTACTGGCTATATACAATTTCTTGTATTAGGAATCTGTCTTTTCGCATACCCCAACTTGCTCTCCATGAGACACACAGACAGGGAGAGAAGCTTGGGGTCAGAGCACAGGGTCAGCCATTTATACTAAAACATTGTTAAAAAGTTTACAAGTCTTTAGTTTCATGCTTTCACATATATTACAATACAAATTTAAAAAGAAAAATCAATCTCTCTAAAACAGTATGGAATTTTCTTCTTTAAGCAGACTCAACAGCTAAAGCACTTTCTTCTTCGGTTCTTTCTAGGTTAACAGGCGATTCTAGACTGCTCGTGCGTGCCTGACAGTCTGGGACTTGCTCCAGTCCTGCCTTGTACCCTGAACGTCCTTAGTAGGCTCTGGGTTGCCAATTCCCTTGAAGTAGCTTTCTGATCATGGATGAACAGAAGATGAAAGATAACTTAACTTAAAGATCTGACTGTGTTTGGTAACAACTTGAAGATCTTAAAGACTACAAAACTTCGTCTCCAAAACTGTTGCAATGAAAACAAGAACCAAATTAATGTCACTCAGTACCTTTCTACAGTCTTTTATAAACAAGGCATTTTATCACAATTCAGTATTACTAGAATTTTGAAAATAACTGCTGAGTTTTCTGTTTAAATCTAAAGTTTTGACCAATGACCATTTCCATACAAACCCAATGTAATGTCTTTTTTCATACAGTTCAATATATCAGTCAACACTCAGAACCAGCACAACCTCGGGATATTTGGGGGAGCCCGAAAACCCCTTTTCTTGAATGCAGCTAAAATGAAATGCCGCCCTGGTCTAACACAAATCTATCCTTTCCACTTGTCTAATATTAATAAACCACACTTAACACCAAGTTCGGTCACAATCCACAAACGCAAAACCCTGATTTTAAAGTAGTAACTATACATGAATAATAGTACCAATAATGTGTTAGGGAATTAAATATCCATCTTGTTTACATTTCGGTACTGATTCTGTCACCTCTTCCCATCATGTCGTTTTACCATTCAATTCCATTTTACATGACAAACTGCAGCAGATCAAAGTTTAAATTGGTGTTTAAGTCACAAGTAAAAAGGCGCTAGAATGCCTTCATTCTCAATTGTTAAAACGCCAACAAAAAATTAAGGTTTTTGAGGGTAAGCCAAAGGTCAGCCTAGTAAGTGTCCTTATAGGTAAGGAGGCAGAGAAATCATGAAAAATGTAAAGAAAGGAGAGGACTTACATTTCATTTTTGCCTATGAAGCCCATAACAAGAACATGGCTTCTCAGCATTATTGGTTCTGGACTGGGTATCTGTGCCACCTGCAATCTATAATTTGTAAGTGATCATTTTACAGTTAGTATCAGAAAACACATCTTGTTCTCTAAAACAGGTCAATAGCTCTTACACTTTAACTTTTGGGATTTACACATTCTAATGAAGTAAGTGTCGTTACTGAAGTGGAAAAAAATGCCAGGTGTTAGTCTTCATTCACTCATCACATTATTGTTCCACAAATATATCATATCTGAGTTACAACTGCTTAATTAATTAATGCTATCCACAAATTTCTGAAACTACTGAAGTTCTATGAATTGTGAGCCTGTAAAAGTTAACATAACAATTAATTTTTTTAATAAATATTTTTAAACCACTACTAGAAAATCAAACTTAAAACATACCAGGAGAAGAACATATCCATCACACCAATGGTTAACGGACAAGAGAACTCAGTGGGACAAAGGCTTTGTTCTTTTAAGGATACTCACCTAATTAAGTTTCGCATTTCTTTTTCAGCCCAAGTCCTCACCATTTTTCTAGGATTACCTTTACAATAGCCGTGACGAAACCTAGAGAAAAGCAATAGTATAATCGGTAATACATGCACGAAGGTCTTGATTCTAGATTCACTAATATATTCAGCGCAATTTTTACTTATTTATGATTGATTCCCTCTTTTTAGTTTGAGCATCAACCCAACATTAACCAGCAAAAATAAAAGACTAAAGTGAATAAACTAATTTTAGGATGCAAGGCACTAATGTTTATGGCAGTAAATTAATATTATTAAGGCTGAACTCTTTATTATAGTGGTATAAAATGAAAAACATTAGTAATTCATATTCCTTTGCTGACATTTCAAAAACACATTGTACTTCATATTTAAATAACACTTACAATAAAAAAGCCAAATCAAAATTAGGTTGCCCTAGTAAGTTAACAAGCAACTGTAAAATGTACAGTTTCGGTCACCCCTTTATATCATATCACTACAAACCTGACAATCATTTGATGCACATTCCAGTTAGATTGGCTGACATGAAATATGTAGAAATGTTATTCTAGTATTTGCACATTCACAGAAGAAAATACAGATTTGGAGGTGTATGCAGGAGTAACAGGTTTCCTTCTTCACACCACTCAGACTGAAAAAGGGTTCATCCCAGAAAAGGGAGTGAAACATGAATTAAGAAGTCAGAAGTGGAAAATACATGGAAGTGCCTTTAAACTCTGAGAACAGAAAGCACTTCTTAACACAAAGCTATGTGGCAGTATGGAATAAAATACCCAACCAAGTTGCAAAAGCTGAAACTCTGTCAACAAAAGGCTGGATGAGTTCTTCTTATGGCAGATGATTACAGTACTCTTTATATCCTAACTCTCCTAGACCTAGGCACTGCCTTTGATACTTTTAATCATGACATTTTACTCTCCCTTTTTGAGTTTTTGACATCGCTCTTAAACGGTTCAACTCTTATCCGAGTAATTAACGACACCTTGTTTCTCTTGGGGGTTTTAGTTCCGAAACTGGGTTCACTGGGTTTCTTATTCTTGGAGTACCACTGTATGAGCTAGTATTCTATGTCTAGACAATATTTTGTTCAAGTAGCTGTTGAGGTAGCTGTTCCACAGACTTTACAGACTGCATCTGGTACACCATCACGTCCTGAATTCCTGATGAGGACCCAGGAAGAGGTTCGGAGGTTCATTTCAGTTATCTTTCAGCTCATAAACAGGAATACTAGTATGTAAATGACTTATAAAAAGGAAAGTAAATTCTCTAACAATGAGACCTTATTTCATTGCTCATTGAATGTTATACATTACTCTCCTATGTGGGGATTGGTGCTGAGCAAAGACAAAATTGTACAGGTGCTGGCAGGAGCTGAAGTGATCTCTCGGAGACATCTCAGTCAACACTCGAAGTGTCTGCACATTTATGATCAATTTAACTCCATATCATGAAAATTGAGGAAACACTATTATCTTGTAGAGTGCTTTCTTGTCAATGAATATGGAAGATTTGTAAAACAAATTACCTGAATTCTCCACTGACATATTTGTCACGATCTTTGAACAATAAAATGGAGGTTTTGAAGATCTTTATGGCTCTGCTGTCTCCCTGGGAAGTTGTGGCGTGGTACACGTTAGCCTGAATGACAAATTCTGGAGTTAAAGATGATCAGGAAGACCCATGCCTCTGTATGAATGAAAGCTTTTTTATAAAAAAAAAAGTTGCACACTAACATAAAAATACCAAGCAACAAACACTCTGTTACCTGACCTTACTTCCTGTTTTTATATTTGACCTTTTCCAAAAAATGCCTCACCAAAGAAGACAACAGCATAGTTAAGATTTCTGGGTTGGTTTTGCTCGTTAAATGAACCCTGTAACTTGCATAGGAGGAAACCATTCAAAGTCACCTGAGTTTTGGATGCTGTCTACAAAATCATTAAAACTTTAAATGTTGCTGCTCATGCAATATGTACAAATTATATGAAAAAATGATGCAGTTCAGAAGAGATCGACAGCAATCTGCTAAAAGTTATAAATAATGTGACTTTTTTGAGACTTATGCGAAGGTTTAATCACTAATGAAGACACACGGTGGGGAGTAAGTTACAGTTCCTTAATGTATTAACAGTGCGCTCTCCCTTTGCAGAGGGACAAGCCTCTGGACAAGAATCAGAATCTCACCTCCTTGCCTGTGCTGATGCAGCCATTGATTTCAGAGAACACGCCTCTGCTCAGCATTTTGAAGAGAATCATGCGAGTTCTTGGATCTAAAACCTGGGATAAACAACCGATGGGAGAGTCAGGAATTCGTTTTATGCCCAAAACCAGTATACCTCCTGAATCCACGACATTTCTGTTCACAAGCTGGAAAAACGCATAGTACCGGCAGACTAGTCAAAGAAACTCAAAAGGTCAAATGAATGAAAAATATCCAAATGAATAAAGAATGCATAGAGAATGGCCGCAATCCACATGAGTCCTGATTCATACAAAAGCCCTACATAGAACTCAGAAGGCTAGAACAGGCAGGCAGAGATCAAAGTGATACTTCAATCATTCAGGCCATTTTAATAAAGACCAACACTTTGCAATGTCCATTGAAAAAAGGCAGAAAAACAGCCTAAAAAAGTAAAAGAAGACAGGTAAAGTGTAGGGCTGAAAGTAGTCTTAAAAGCCTGCATCCTTGCATTTGACTTTCACAGTATGCTGCATAGTTTCAGAAAACAACATGGTTAAAGGTTGCTGTTGGTGAGATTAACTAATCAACCCAATAAGATCTAAAACTTTCAGGAAATCTTATTTGATGGCTCTATAGGTTAGAGAACATAACTTACATTAGGTTCCCAAGTGGATCATTATTTCATTAACATTATTTCAAAATATCCATACATTTCTAAGATGTAAGGCTCATTTTAGAAGGCTAGCGCTTTTCCAATTTTAGCATCTAGCTACTGAAGACAGAGAAAATGCTCTCTTTTTCTCAGTCTCAGATGTACTTTAAAGCTTAAAACAGCAGAGATCGGTGGGAAAACATAATCCCACTGTTGATATATTCCGAACAATGTACAAGGATTATTAAGGGGCTTACACAAATGATCACTTTGGAAAAAAAATACCTGTTCAACTGTAGCTCTGTCAGATTTGTCCTTAACGCGGCGCCTGCAAAATCATTCAGGAAAATAACATATTTATTCAGCTTACTGATATTTGTTTGCTTACAGTTACACTGTATAAAATTCTTTAGACGGATTCCCTTCTCCAGACACAAATGAATGCTGGTCTACACATGTACTTTCAAATGCTTTTTTCTAAAGAGTATGTGACAGTCAAACTTTACGCAAAGCAGTTCAATTGTAATGCAAAGTTGTTTCAGTTATGTCCTTACTAACATGAATTTTAAAATGCAGTTCTGTTCCCTTGTTACTTACTTTACAGTTTTTTAAAACATGAAGCTTACTATAATCTTCGCAACAGTAAATGAGATCCTTAATTTTGAGTTAATTGTATTTTTTGTTATTTCCTAATAAATACTACCAACATCAGTATAAATAATCAATGGTCCACTTACGTGTCAGCTTCTTTTTGTCTCTGCATTTCTGTAACTTTGTTTATGACAGAATCAGCATAGTTGAGTTTATCTGGTTACATAAGAAAAGAACAAATGCAATAATAAACGTTAATGCTGCACAACAGACAGAATGTTGTACTTTCTCAATATCAGATTATATCAAATGCAAAATCTTAATGCAAGCTAAACAAAAATACAGGTATTTCTATCATAAGGCAGAATTATCTGCCTAGAGATTAAGATGCATTATATTAACTAATTATTGAAAATAACATTTGTACCCCCTTTACAAGAAAAGCAGAATTAAAGGTAAAATAATGACAAGATTTTTTTATTCACTGTGTACTTAAAGCTAACATTGAAATGCTCAATTTCAGCTCATTTAACTTTACTTTCTAAAAACAAAGTATAGCGTGATAGTTTTTAAAATACCTTAATAAACAAAATTAGTTTAAAATATTTTCTTATCAAGTTAGTATTTTTGTAATATTAATTTGAAAATTAATATCTTGTAATATAGGGCAATTTTTTTTGCTAAAATTATCTAACTGTACACAGACTATTATACAATATAAATATAACCTGCCCATATTACCTTGGACTTCAATAATGAGGACTGTAATCACATATTCATTGTAGGTTTATAAAACAACAGAAGGTCTTTCTTACCTAGGTTGATTTTATGTTCATATTTTCTCAGTGCCTTGTCTGTTGGAGTTGACATCTTCAGTGATTTATTACTTGGAATCTGTCTGTTTGCCTTTCAAAATCAAACAATCGATAATACAAATTATTTTATTTACTGACTCAATGTAGAAGTTTTATTATATAATATATACCTTATTAACCCACACACACAAGGCAGCTTGTAGAGTCAATTTTACATGTTTCAGTTTATGCCCTGTCAGGATACATTTACAAATGACTTAGGACAAAATTCAATTTGATCAGGCCTATGTTTTACAGATCCCTGGTTATCAATATTTAATACATTTTATACATTGTCTCCACGGCAGCGTATCAACTACCTGTTGGTTGTTCATGCAAAAGGCCGTGTAACGTTTGGTGAGGTCTCCCCCAGCACTATTCCAGTCCCACTCGTCTTCCTCATCCTCTTCATCATCATCCTCTTCCTCGCTGCACTCCTCTGTTGTTGAACTCAGCCCCACTCTGCTTAGCTCATTCTCCAGCGCTGGTACTGCCTTAACTTCTGAGGCATCACTTCCATTCTCACTGTATAAGCAAAGCACAGTCTGCTTTCAGAACAATACGCACAGATAGGTATGGAAGTTCCAACCTCTGCTTAAGTTTTACAGTACAAAAAAAGCAGTATTTCCCGATTCATTTCCTCTTTGAGTTTTTGCAAGTGAAACTGGGCTGATGTTCAATAAAAGGGCAACAGGTTAGATTTTACATCAACAGTTTGCTAGGAAGTGTCACAAAATACCAGGTGCTTCACCATTTTGGATTAAAATGTTGAATAGTGATTAAAAACCGGTTTTAATGGTATTTCAAAGGACGGAGTTTAATGAATACAAAGATGACAGGTAAGACCATGTCGCACTCAATAATGAAGATCTCCTGGTTGTTTTTAGTGCGAATGAATGCACCTTCAGAGAGCTTATCACAGAATGACATGCGCTGCTTCAAAAATGAGAAGATTCATCCAGGCCACTGGCTCTGTAAGTGACAGGCTAAACCTTGGAATTCAAGATGGTCAAAACACTGAGCCGTCACATCTATTTGATCCAGGTGGTCAACTGCTTTCAGAATACAATGGCTGCATCACACAAAATTTCAGGAAGCGTGCAAATTGACTATGTGCTTGCAGGCTGTTCAGGGGTAACCCTGGCAGCTAATAGACAAAGTCACTGTTTTCGATGCAACAGGATTATGATGATGTGGTGAAGACTTTCCTCTAACACAAGAATGCCACTGGTTCAACAGTTCTGCAGTTCCTACAACTCCACCTGAAAGTTTCCATTTTCCAGCAGGGCCATGTAAGAGAACTATTTTGAGCTTTTGGTGAGGACAGACTCTTCTCCTGACCTCAGCATGGCAAAACATTTGCAGGACCAATATTGCCAGTGCCACTGACAAGAAACCAGTGTGACCACCCTGCCTTTACCAGCTGCATTCACAGTAGGTGCACAAAAACAGCAGTGCAACATGTCTGTGTCCAAAAGGCTGACCATATCTATGAGCCAATGCTGCTGGGACTGTGTTGATGTCATTTCTATATTGCTGAGAACACTTCATATATTGGAGGAGAATCATACATGTGCATCTGCCTATTATATAGCAGATCTCGAGAAATGAGAATTTGAACAAGCTCAAAGTGATAGTGAACATTGCGTTTAACACCCCTACTCTTTCGAACAGTACTTCCTAGGTAGTTTTTTTAATGAAAGAATAACCAGGATCTCCACTTAACAGCACCGTGTCCCCTGTCACCATACAAAGGCATTGGAAGTTGTGGTCCAGAGGGCAGAGTGTCCACCAGCACCAGTTACAACACAAACCTGGTTTTCCTTGAAGTCTCTATTCCATGGACTGGCCAGGCCCAGACTTGCTCGGCCTCCGAAAGGACCAGACTAATGGTCACACAGCAGTGCTATCAATGCCCAAGAAGGTCATTCCCGACATCCATCCATTTTCTAACTGCTCTACCCAATACAGGGTCATGGGGGAGCCAGAGACTATACCGGCAAGCAATAAGCGCAAGGAAGGATACACCCTGGACAGGACGTCAGCCTATCACAGGGCAGGCGGACACAAACACAGACACACACCAGGGCCAATTTTCCCAGAAGACAATTAATCTCCCAGTATTTCTTTAGACTGTGGTAGGAAACCAGAGCTCCCAGAGCCAACCCACAAGAACAAGGGGAGAACATACAAACTCCATACAGACAGCACCGAAGGCTCCAGTGCTGTGAGGCTGCAATAGTGACAGTGTCTCGTACCTAACACGAACATTGACATGGTTTCATTCCGACACTGTGATGTTTCATACCGAGAAATGTATCACAAGAACATAAGAAAGTTTCCAAATGAGAGGAGGTCACCCCTCGCATGTAGTCCGTTTGGTCGTCAGTAGTTAACTGAATCAAGGATCTCAACCAGCCGTTTCTTAAAAGAAACCTAGGTATCAATAACTTTGAGGAATAGATTGTTTAACACCCCTACACAATTAGGCATAATTTCTATACAACACACAGACTGTATAAAGTAATTGTAATTCAACGTTCGCAGTATATCCTACAAATGGATATAAAACGCCAGTGGGAGTCACGTTTTAAAGTGGAAAATAAAAAAAAAAACGTGTGCAAGAATGGAGTACTTTCTGGTATTTATTGAAATAATTAAATACCAGTTTTGAAAAAAACACGAACACGTTAATTCGGGAGAATTCAACCTTATAATTTGCTGAACGACTCAATGTAATGTAGTTGCAATTTCAATACGCAAATATGCTAAGCACACTGTAACTGTAGAACGTCATCATTCATAACAATTCGTTAGAAATATGAATCTCTTTTAACTGTTGAATATTCTGTTTCACTTATTTAGTCAAATAGTCGTTTGAGCTATTTAATTTGTCTTCAAGCATGTTTGTGTTATGTGGAAGGCCGGGCAGAACTACTGTTGTTCTCGGCAATCATGACGACTACTGCTCAACAGCAGAAATATTTAATTTTACAAAATAGATTACATACCCTTCCGATATTTCGGCATCGTCAAACTGACCCGGAACAACCGTTGTTAATATGTCCGCTGGCTTTGACATGACAAACTAGTCCGTAAGCTACAAAGTACAAATACAGTATTTCACCAGCCACAACCCTAAAACACGTTCCTTCCACAGGGCTAGCAAGAAACACATGTTGTACGAGAACCGGAAAGGATCAAACCTTCTCAAGGACAAACAAAACGCGTTTTTACTCGAGTCGTTCATCTGTTCGGATAGAGACATAGGCATATTTTTGTAATATAAGTAAGGCTCCCTTATTACATAAAAAAGAGACCTTACAACAAAAGCTTTAATATTCCATTATTGTAATAGTTTATTTGGTTTGTGATTCAGCCTTCACAGTAAATGTTTTGGCATTTTTTTAACTTTTCCCTTTGGAATGTTTAAATCTTCCTTAATCAAAATCCTGCGTCATTTAAAAATGCTTTATTTCAAGGAAATTATAGGCAAAGCCAAGTCCAATGGTACATTTAAAGAGTTTTTCTCTATTTTGTTTACATTGGCTCTGAATTTTACAGCTTTTACAGTTTTTAACTGTTAAAAAAATGCCTGGAACTATAATTACAGTATTCATTATATTATAAGCTATGCAATTAAGGTTTCATTCTGTTTTTAAAAATGTATTCTATTTATTAGTATTCAACTTGTTCTATTTATGAACAATGGAAGTATTATTGTTTCTAAGAAAAAAGTGGTGTTAACTGCTGACACAGGACGATGTATTTGTATTACAGCTTTCCTAGCTGAAGCTTAATTCATGGAGAAAATCTCCCTGCCCTTCAGGGCTGGTTGGCTGCCAAGGGACTGCTATTTTGTAAAATAGTCTCGTGATTATGGTTAACACTGCTAGAGGAACACGACACTAAGCACCCTTCATCTAGGACCAGTTGTAAATGCGATGAGAAAGTGAAAGAGTTAGATAAGACAAGATCACATTATTTATTAGCCATATACAATTTCTTGCATTACAAATTTGTCTTTTCACATACCCCACCTTGCTCTCAATGAAACACACAGACTCATTGAGAGAGGCTTGGGGTTAGAGCAGAGGATCAGCCATTTATACAGCACCCCTGAAGTAGTTGAGGGGCAAGGGCCTTGCTCAGGGGCCCAAAAGAGTTAGATTCCTCTGCTGGCTGCGGGATTTGAACCAGCAACCTTCCTGCCACAGGTGCTGAGCCCTAGCCATAGTGCCACCACTCCACCCGTTGCTTGAGGTTAAACTCCTGCATCATCTTTTCCAATCAGGGGAACGAAGATCTCATTTACTTCAACTTATATCAGCCTCATTCTTAGAATTATTATATGCCAATGCTATAGACAATTTTCACCTCAGAACATTTTTTCATTTGTTCTTAATGGAGGAATTATATACAGTATACATGCTACGGTGGTTAAAATTCCTGGCTTGCGGCAGTGGGGTTCAGGGTTCAATTCCAGACTTGGGGTGCCATCTC